GGTGTCTTGCGAGGCTCGCCTCCGCGTTATCTTCCCACCATCCCCGTCATGCCAAGGATTTCACATCATCGCCCGGATTTCACATCTAGCTCGGAGCTTATCCTCCTCTAATACCCCCGTGGGTCGCCTTTCGCAGGGGGACAGGGACACACGCACCCATCCACACAGGCACAGCGTTGATCCCCGCACCTCCAGGAAAATGATAATAAATACATAAATAAGAAATACCACTCAAAACCTTCTCCCCCCCCCAATCACCACCTCTGCCCTTTCTCAAGAACACTTCTTCTATCTAAAAGTTTCCGAAAGAAAATAAATACAAGTGACACTGTGCTGGGGGAAAGCTCATTAGTTCGTTGTCCAACTCTAATAAAAGAACAGAAGTGCAAATTATAGAGTTCAGCTTCAACACACGCTCTGTCAACTAAAATCAACCGGGTGCAGCCTTGATTCAAATAGCTGCGAAGTTGGTCCGCAATTCAAAACCACCTTCCCCCTCCTCCCTTCCCCTTTCCACCCCACCTCCACCCTCCGCCCTGCCGCAGGGACATTCGCTTGGAAAAATATTGTTCCAAGGAAGGTAATGATAAAGCTTAACGTTAGGAAGAGGAGTGCGCAAACTCATTTCCCCATCGGTAATCCCAATAAAAGTAGCGTGGTGCTTCCTTCGCTGGGAAGGGCTGGGATAGGAGCTGTGTGTGGGGATGGGGGGAGGAGGAGGAGGGACAGGACTCCTGAAATAACATCTTCTTTCCAGCAAGGTAGAAGAAGAAACGGCCGCTTTGTTTTGATAATTAGCTAAGCCCAAACTAGGAAAGCAGATGTGTTTGCTTAGCTAATCATAAGACAAGTTTCTTTCAAAGAACTTCATTGAGAGATTGCAATTGTGAAGGAAGGAGAAGGATTTCATTCCCCTCCCCTTTGCCTCCCACCCCCCTCTATTTTTATTATTATTATATTTTCCCGCCATAAACTTCTCCTAATATGATATAAACGCTTCCGATTACCTAGATGGGAAGAAGGGGAGCCCTCCTCAGCCCAGCTCTCCCTGCTGCACGTTACCACGCGTGCTGTTGACATTTTACTTGGGGGGGGGGGAGGAGAGGAGGGGGGGGGGAAGGAGGGGAGGGGGGGAAAAAACAGAGAAGGGGGAAAAATAAAGTTTTAATGACATGTATGACATATTAAATTAGGCAGTTTTACAATTGGGTTTGAATGCAATGCTAACTGATTACAACTGTGTTATCAAAAGGGTGATAAGATTTATAACTTCGCGAGCACAAGCCTCTCCTCTTAATGACAATAGCTGTTCAATAGCAGAAATCTGGTTTCTATTTCCCAAGAAGAGACGCTGTGTGTCTCCGTTGCCCCTTTATTACAGCAGGATTCGAGATCCTCTCGAAAAGAGCTTGGCACTTGGAAATCCACAGGCCAGGAATACCTTTATGGTCCCTATTAACTACTGTGTTATTTACACTTTCGCTGGTTATTCTCACTCAATACCCGTATCACATACGATGGATAGCACAGCCTCTCCCCTTGCCTGTCGCGGGGTGTTTTGGGGTTATATTTTGCATTTCTTTTCTTTACAAAAGGAAAAAATAAAGGGGGAGAGGGGAAAAAATAACCCCAGAGCTCTGTCTCTTACACCCCTCTCCTCCCCAGCTCCCTAAACCAACACATTAAGCAAACTTTAAAAACTGGGTTCCTATTACAAAGCAGCGCCCAGGACTAACTGCTTTAAAATTACTGCATAATTAGATTTAGTTGAATTTCACCATTAATTAGGCAGCCGCACTGCGGGGAGCCTTTGAAATCTGAGAAAATGGGAAAAATCATCTGAAGCACGTTTTTTAAACCCAACTTCAATAAATCCTGACAAGGCCTGCATTTCTCCGTGTATCTCTTTCCATTCTACAAAGCAAAGCAAAGCAAGCGCGATCCCCAGGACCCACTAAAGTTTTAATTAAAAAAAAAAAAAAAAAGAAAAAAAAAAAAAAGAAGAAGAGAGAGAAAAATAAAAATAAACCCATCTCCATTGCTACATCCCGCTCGTTATCAGCGCCGGCGGCTGCGGAGCGCCTCGAAACATCCCTTTTTCTCCTTCCCTTCTCCTACCCTCTCTCTTCCCCCCCTCTTTTTGAGGCACCTTCCCAAGGATTCCGCTGTCCCTGCGGGCGCAGACCCTAAACCTGACCCCCCCGGGGGGGGGATCTGACTCCGCTTCAGCGGCCGCGGAGCCGCGCTCGCCCCGGGAGGTGCTTCCCCAGGGCAGGGACCTGCGGAGGGACGCGGGCTCCGGGGGAAGCCGCGGCCGCCCCGAAGCTCTCCCCGGTCGCTCGGGCACCGCACCGGTACGCACTGGGGAAGGGGGGGGATCGCCGGGTTCCCCCCCTTATCCCCGGCCCCGCGGAGCGGGCGAGCCGCGCCGGGGCCGCCATGTTGGCTGAGCTCATCGGACCCTGCCGCGGACTTTCCCACGCGTCACCTCCGCGGCCGCGCAGCGATCCGCGCCCCTCATCTCCTCCCCTCCCGCCCCGCACTCCCTCCCCTCCCGCCCGCCTCTTCCTCCTCCATCCATCCGGCCCCTCCGCGGCCGCCGGCGGTGCGGCCCCACGGGCGAGCCCCGCGGGCTGCGGGCGCTGCCCGGCCCCGGCAGCCCCACACGCGGCTGGCACCGCCCGCCAAGCGCCTCCTCTCGCCCCAGCCCTCCGCTTTTGTCTGAACTTGGGAGAGCCGCCTCCCCTCCGCGCCCCCTCCGCGCCCCGCGTACGCATTTCCCCCCCGGCGCTCTGCCGGCGGGGCCGGAGAAGGTTTAGGAGAGCGGCGGCTGGAAGGGAAGAAGAGGAAGAGGAGGAGGAAGGGGGGTGAAGAAGACCTTTCCCGAGCTGTGCCTCGCACCGCGGGCGGCTCCGCAGCTTTCGCTGTCGTTCCGGGTCGCCTTTAGGTCTTTCCCTGCGCCGGTGGCAGGGGCAGTGGGGAAGGAATAAAGCGAAGTGAGCTCAGATTAAAGGGGGGGGGGGGGGGACGACATACAAGGGAGGGTTAGGAAGGGGGGGAACCGCAAGGAAAAAAAATAAATTAGAGACTTAAAGGGAAAGAGTCGCCATGTTTAGCAGCTTTTTTTTTTTTCCCTTAAAAAAAAAAATCTCCTCAATTCCACACAGAGCAAGCTCCTCGATCCCAACCCTCCTCTTTTGTCCAATTCAATCTTTGGATAGATCTTTTGTTCTAACTCAGCATGAAAAGAAAAACTTTCTTTAAATGCTATAAACTTAAAACTAACTGAAGTCCCTAAACAAATCCTCCTCTGAGCATTCCAAACATATATACATGGGGCTTGTGTGTATGTGTGTGTGTGTGTGTGCGTGTGTGTGTGTTTTTATTTAACCCTGGTGCATTTTCTGTTTACTATTATTCTCTGTGAACCAAAGCTCGCTGCGAGAAACTTATAAATACAGAGATAGCTTACAGGCTTTAAAACATAAAAAGCAGAGAATGTTTTGGATTTGAAAATCATAAATTATAATTTAATGCCAATAACAATTTACAACAAATGGTTGTTTACAATAAACTAACACAAAACAAACAAGTCAAGATCCTGTGTTCTTAGTAAGCATAAAAACTTCACACACACACACTCACATGGATAGCACTTGCAATAGAAAAAGCTAAATCTAGAGGTCAGCAATCCCCTGCAATAATAGTATATTTATATATTTATATATATTTATATATTTATAGAAAAGGAGCTATGATTCAGATGTAAAACTCTGCTCAAATTCACAGTCATACGCCCCTCAGCCCCCAGTACAGATGTGTCTAACTGGAACACACTAAAGATCAGGGTTTAATCGACTTTACAGAATGATCTCCCTCCCTCCCTCTCTCTCTTTTTGTGAAACCACAACATGGTGTAGTTACGTGTGGTAAAAAGGGAGAGGGGGAAGCCTCAAACAAGAACAAAATTGCAAGCTTTCACATACAAAGCATCTGCTACAGACCAAGGGGAGGGTTGGGGAAGGGAGGTGCAGAGAGAGAGGAAAAAGAACTGACACACACGCGAAACAAAATATCACCCCCTTGCAAAACCACATCATCTCGCCTTCCTTCAGATTTGGGGGGGTTTTGTCTCTGCCTGCTCGGGACAGCATTGAATTCCCGGACGACTTGTCCGGTCCTATGCCATGGCACCCATGGGAGCTGTGCCTGTGCGAGGGCTGGGGAGAGGGCCCTGGAGCCCCCCAGGGAAGATGCATGTGCGCCTACACATGTATGTATGCAGGGATACATACAGACATATATGCCATACGTAAAAGATAGAGATGACCTGTGGTCATGCTTTCACAGTCTAAGGTAAAAAAGAAAAACCCACTTGCGAGTATATATATACATTAAAACCCGACTCCTCAGTGCTAGAAGCTAAAGCCACTCCATTTGAAGACCTCTCAATGACAACGATAGATGGCAACTACGGAGTATTATAAAAAATCACACATACTTAAAGAAAACTCATTGCAAACAACTGACCTATATTTACAATACTGCTATTACCTTGCTTGAATGATCTTGTGCGCCTATGTCAGACATTTACAAAAGGTTTTTTCGCCCCATTCTGATCATAAAATAGATACTGATCTCCAGATTTCTAATACTTTTTCACAACAATACCTCTCCTACGCAGGCACTTAAGTGTGACAAAAATAAGGGCCTTTTTTTTTTTTTTTACCCCAGAAAATCCATTTTTAATTAACAGGAGGATTAGATGAATGGGGGTTGATGGTTTACCATTTCAGCATAGTACTTCCTAAAACCAGAGATAAACCACGAACTTAAGTCCTCCGCCCCCATCCCGGAATTAAACAGGTAAATAGACTACAATACATCTGCTACAAACTTACTGTGACAAGTAAACAAATCAATCGCCTATGGACTTAAATGACTGCAAACTAGAGAGAAGTAATGCGGTTTCTGAAAGACATTTATGACAGCCAAACAAGTTTCAGATATCAAATAATATTTTAATTTCTGAATACTTTCAATTTTCCTTGGAATATAACACACAAAGACTCGACCAAACAGTTCAGTTATTATAACTTTTACAGTATACAGAAATGTTGCACTTAAAAAAAGAAAAAAAAACCTTCAGTTTTTTTTTAAACACAAAACTGTAAACTCTAAGATACTGAATCAATCACGTTATCTATAAGTGCCAACAGTGTTATTTTGTCATGCTGATTTCAATGGTATTTTTTAAAAAGGGAAAATATCAACAATTATTATAATACAAAGGGCTTGCAAATATACAAACAGATAGAGGAGTTTAATAACAATTCATGATGAACTATGTGGAACCCAATTCAAATTACAAAAGTTCACTTTGCTTGGTTTGGTTTTTTTTTTTCCTTTTTTTTTTGTTTTTTTTTTAAATCAAAAACCGTAATGTGTCTTGGACACAAATTCCTTCTACCTATAATAAATCCCCACAGTTCATTTTCTGACCGAAATATCAAAAAACTTAGATTGGGGGGTAGTTATATGACACGTGTGGTTCATTCAGGTCTATATAATTATAGCTCTCTCAGCTTCAAGCTAGATTTTGGGTCACCACCTTAAGTGCGCTTCCATCATTGTGTTGTTGAGGGTTTTTTTTCTCTTTTCCTTTCTTCCTATGATACTTTCATGGACTCAGTTTTAATTCTTTCAGAACATATATTTTAAGGATACACAGTTTATTTTTTTTTTAAAGAAGCCAAGGTTATATCAAAAATTATTATAGAACCACAGAATAAACTGGTTTGAAACCAGAAAAATACAAAAAAGAACAGCTATAGGTACATAGACACATAGGACAATTAATAATTTGGAAAAAAAAGACTTACTTTCTTCCGTTCTGCTAATTTTTTTTCTCCAAATTTCCTTTAAATGCACTTTAAGCGAGATTTTTTTAAAAAGTTTACCCCAGAAAAAGAAAAAAAAAAAAAAAGAAGAAAAAAGAAAAAAAGAAAAAGCCCAACATCGCTTCCTCGCTTCTTCTTTCTCCTTTTTCTTTCTTTCTTTTTTCTTTCTCTCGTTCTTTTTGAATTTTTTACAAAAAATGAGAAGTAGCAAGTTTTTTTTTCGGAACGACACGGGAGTTTTTAATGCATTCTGTAAAAGTTCATTTGACAGTCTCTCCTTTTGTTTTGTTTTGTTTTAATTCACAGTCCATTAATTTTTTTTTCCTGTCTTCTCTTAGCAAACTTGTAACATCCTTTTACATCCTTTCTTAGCAGAAGGAAATTTAAGTAACAACCAGAACCCAAATGTCATTTGCTTTCCTTTCACTCTCTTTCATCGCCCTTCTCAATTTTTTCTTTTTAATTCTTTTTTTTTTTTTAAGATTTTTTTTCTTTTATTTTTTCTCTCAAATATTTTATTGAATGGACATATAAGGCCAGTTAAAACTGCTGCCAGACAGTAACATATCCCTGATTAGGGTTTCTATGGGGGTTTTACCTACCAAACGGACGAAAAACAATTGCTCTATGACAGAAGAGGAGACAGTGCGAAGGGAGGGGAGACGTAGTAATAGCTTCCCGAATCGTGTTGGCTGGTTGGGATACTGGCTCCTAACATACTCTTCCAAAGCACACTGTGACTTCTCCTGTAAACTTTCAACATGGGCTACATCAGAGAGACCACAGGCATCTAGAAGAAAGTGTATTAAAAAAAAACAAAAAAAAAAAAAAGAAAAAAAAGAAAGAAAAAAAAGAAAACAATCATCAGATTAAAAAGTGGTTTATTTTAGAATTTTTAAAATTTGATCTTTTTTTAAATGGCTAGAATTAAGCGTAGATCTTGCGCCATCACCTCGCTCCCCAGTTTCAGTAGGTTTTACCAAAAGGGACAATCTCTTTCTGTGCATGCGTGTGGGGTTGTATTTCTCTCTCTCTCTTCTGGAGGGTCTCCTTTAGGATTGAGCCCAGCTCCCAGAGTGGAGATTTCTCATGGCACGACAGACCTGAGGGGCTGACAAGGAGGTGTTGGCCAAGCGGAATTTTGTGCATCTATATTTTTAGGGGGAAAAGGCTGGGGGAAGGCGGGGAAGGCTTGAGTCGAAAGGGGGGAGAGGGAGCCACTATTTCTCCCCTCTCCTTGGAAAATAATTGGGGAGAGCCTACCCATGTGATGAGAAGGAGTAGTAAGAATAGTGATAGAAATCATAATCATCATCATCATCATCATCATCAAAAACTGGCCCAGCCAAAGATAATGGCGCCCCGGATCCAGCAACAGATTCTCCCCCAAAGAAGACAACGCGTTTTTCTTCAGTCTTTGAAACTGATTTAAGTGGCCCTTTAAAACTGATCTTGTCAGTTTAGCCTATTCAGAGGCAGCCATGCAAACTGTGATCTCTCTGTTCATTTGAGCTGTTTCTTTTCCCCCCTCTTTTCTTTTCTCTTTCTTTCTTCCCCCCTCTCTACTCCCCCCTCTATTTTTTTCTTTTTCCCTCTTCTTCTTCTTTTTAAACCTAAAGGCCCTTACAAGAAGAAAACTCCCTGATAGGGTCTGGACATTTTTTTCCCCCTTTTTTTCCCTGATACGCTAAAATACAATAAGTTCCCTTTAAATCAGAGACGTCTGTGCTGAAAGAGCACAGGTTGTGACCTGACCTCCCTGTGGCTTTCCTAGGCGCAGGGCTAACACATGCATATTCTGCGAGTCATTAGAACCCAGATTTCCCCCCCCTCCCTCCTCTTAAAAGAGGCTGCAGCAAACATTATATGCATCTATCTGCGTCTGCTTTACATCAGACTGTGTTATTGGGGTGCTGCAGGAGCTGCGGGCATCACCCTATATTTATTTTATTTCTTTTCCCTTGCATGCGGCTATCTCCCCCAGAATCAAGATAACAAGAAACGTTTATCTAGTTGGGAGGCAATTTACACGCCAGGCCTCACATTTTGAAAATAGTAATAAATTAAACAGTTACGACAGGATCGGACGATTGTTTTCTCAGAAGGCTAAAAAAAAAAGAAAAAAGAAAAAAAAAGGGGGGGGGAATAAAAGGGAAAAATAAAATAAGTGATTTGGGAGAAAAGGCAGGATTGGAAATAAACTCCTCGGTGTGAGTGTGAGCTGGCAAGGGGCTTGGGGAAGGATGTGAGCGTGTGTGGGATCCTCGCTGTGCAAGGGAGAGAGGAAAATGCATCCTAGAAAACGATAGGGAAAAAAAATGAAGTGAGCACCCCATGTCCTCCCCCTTCCCACTCGGGATCCCTGTGTCCCTATGGCTCCATGCGCCCTGCTCATTGATCACCTCAGGACTTTAGCACGAGTGATTTGGGGGGGGAGGGAAAAAAAAAAAAAGGGGGAAAAAAAAAAGGGAGAAGTTTTTTATGTGTAAAGCAATAATATATAAAAGGAAGTTTAGGTCACGACCCAGAACCTGGACAAAGTCCAGAAAATGACTTCGTTCCCCAGACCCCCTTTAACACAACAAGGAATGGATTGTGAGCCCTTCTTTTCCCACATAAACTACATTTTTTTCCTGTTTCCTGATATCAGGCTTTAAAAAACTCCGATGAGTAATTATTTTACAGGTCCTGCTTCCATTCATATGTTTATCGCGTGGCCACTTTCCCAAGCTTTCCAAAGAGTTACAGAAGAAATCTATGGATTTTTAAACTTAATCCTCAAAACTTCTAGGGCTCCAGCACACTGGCTTGCCGATGCAGCCTTAAAGTTAGCAATCTGAGATAACGTATTGCACAAATTAGCGAGCAGAGGAGTGGTTTTTTTTTTGTTGCTTAAAAAAACATAATAAGAATAAAAAAAAAATTTAGCCTCCAGAGTTAATATCAGGATTATTACTCACCCAGGTTAAACTCTAGTGCAAGCTAATTAGATTTCACAACGCACTCAATTATTGCTTTATAACTCATGCACTATTTCTAGGCAGCAAAAGTTGACACGTATTCCCCCCCCCCCCCCCGTCCCCTTCTCTTTGATTATCTAAGAAACACCTCGAGGTCTTTTCCTCGGGAGAGGCATGGTTGTGCCACTCCGGAATTACACTGCGGAGCTGCAGCTCCACTCGCCTCTTACTTTTCCATACTATCCCTGTCTACTTATGGTAACGATCTTTTCGCACCCGCTACTCGTTTTGGAGCCTGCAGTTCCTGCTGGGTACAAATGCAAACTTTTCCCCTTAGCTTAAATGACACAGAACTGCTCACTGCCACGTTCTGTTTAAATCAGAGACAGCTCTTTGGAAAGTTGATTTATTTTATTTTATGGGATGGCAGGGAACATATTTTAAACTCAGCTTTGTGCATTTAACTTCTTTTTTTTTTTTAATTCAATTTTTAATCCTGCAGGGCTTTTTTCCCCTTCCTGGCTGCCCATAAAATGCTCACCTTTCTTTTTTTTTTTTTTTTTTAAAGTGTTTTCACTGATAGGACGACTTGTATTTAACAACATCAAACAGATTTTGCTGCTGTTCAGATGCGTGTCATTAAATGCAACAACCCAGAGCTATACTGTTAAATAAAATATTCTTTTCAATGGAAAAAGCACGGTCTTTCATGGCGAATGGGTGCCTCTCCCCAAGCCCCCTTTTCCCCAGCATTACTCAGCTAGGGTTGGGGTGTCTTTAGGTGGCCTATTTTGTGTGTCTGTGTGTGTTTTATTTCTTTATTTCTTAATTTATTTTTACTTTGCACTCCCGCACAGATGGGATGCTCAGATCCGAGGCCCTGAAGGGGAGACCACAGGGCACCGTATCCTAAAAGGAAAGAGAGCGCGCCGCTTCTTGGGGAGCAGGGAGCGGTGGTGGGGTGTCAGGCAATAACACTTTGGAAGAGCAAACAGTTCTCGGGGAGGGCCCGGGGGAGGAAAAAGGAAGAGCAAAGAAATGCTGCCTACCTGAGGTGAAGAGGACTATGGCCTTTAAACAGCTATATTCTGCGGAGTCGACATGCAATGCTTTCAGTTTTTCTACTTGCTCTTGGAAGATTCGTATGTGGTCCATAAAGGCGACCACTCGGTCAGCAGACATTGGCGAAGCGTGGAGGCCGGCAGCTGCCAGGAGCGGAGCTACGTGGAGGGGCATGGAGCACTGGGCAGCGTTGAGGACAAACAACTCGCTCCAGGTCAGCCTCAGGAGGGCCACCTGGTCTGTGATCTGGAGGTCTGGGAAGAAGGGGATATTCCTGGCCCACTCCACCGCGCTGAAGAGCATCCTAGCTGCCAGTTCACAAATGTTCTCGATGCCCATGATGTTGTTGGGTTGCATGCACTGACTGCCAAAGCGGGAGGTGGGGTAGGGCTCTGCTCTCAGAAGAAGGGAGATATATCCGGATAGGTAGGAATGGCAGTTGAGAGGGTCCCCATTTGTCAAGGCGAACTGACCATGAGTTGGCTGTGTGGGTGGCATTCTGCCCCTCTGGACCGCTGCAGTAAATAAAGAAGAAACTACAGCTATTAATATCTGAATTGCGACCATCGGTTCCAATACAGCCTGCTTTGTGTGCTTGTGCGTGCTCGTGTGACACCGGACCAAGTCAGTTTAAGAGGGAAACATGCATTTTTTTCAGCCAGAGTTCAGCCCGTACCCCTGCTTTAAGGCTCTGCAGCTCCCGGGTCAAGTCAAAGCAACAATAAGAGCAGAGCAATGCTGTCCGCTCAGCCAGGACTGCCTGCAGGAGCCCGAGATATTCACTTCCCAAAACACACCACAAGCCGGTTCTTTCCCCCCTTCCCAATCCCTCCACCGCCTCCCCTCCTTCAAGAGATGCAGGGTACGTCTTTGTGTGCCCGGGTATTTTTCTTCATTACACCTCAACCAGCTTATTGATTTGGGGCTAGGGGAAAAGGATGGGAAAGGAGGGAGGGGAAGAGGGGAGAAGCACTTCAGTTCAAAATCCCCGGCGCTGGTCCCACACGCGTTTCTCGCCCACTGAATATATTGTTGCTGGTGTTATTATACACACCCCCCCTCATAAAAAAAATACCAAAGGAGCCGACATCACCCCTCAACATCCCGGCAGATCCCCTGGCGAGGCTGGGGGCATGATCCAAAGGCACCTTCCTCTGCTGCCCATGGAAAGTGGGCCTTTCATTTTGTTAATAAATTTACACGGTGACAGCGAGAGAAAAAGGAGAGAGGAAAAGGGCTCAGAGGCAGAGAGACGGCAAGAAGGGAGAACGCCTAAAAATGTGCTTGATTTGTATTTGTTATCGCCACTATTACAAGGTTAGTTACTCTTGCAGAAACACAAAGAGAGAAGCCCAGCAAGTCCCAAGCCCCCTAACCCTTAACCTACATAGCAGCGTCCAGACACAGAGCACGCACTGGAAAACTGCAGGCTCACATTTCCCGTCTAATTTTATATCACAAAGACTCGACTTGCAGAGACCCGAGCACCCCACACTTACTTCTGGGCTGCTCTTTCCTTCCCCCCCCGCCACCCTCCCCTTCTAACTCCCCTCCTGCCTCTCCCGGTGGAACGAGAAAATAAGAGGAAGAAAGGAAAAGTGGGATAATAACAACCAGGAAAGGCAGGCAAACGGCAATATACATATATATACATACACACACGCACGAAGATGTGCGTGTATATGTATTTTTAAAGGAAAAATCCAGCTGGGAATCCACAGTGGAGTGCTGTAGAGCCTCGGTAGGGTGAGTCCCATTGTAATAGTAATTTGAACCGCCTGTGTAAAATTGCAATCTAAGGCAGGGTGCTGGAGGATATATATATATTATATACATATATATGCGCCTGTGTGTGCATCTCTTGTGTGTGTACACACGCACAGAGACACACATACACATGCCCGGAGCAGCTAACTCGGAGCATGCAGGAGGAAACATGAAGTAACCACACGTCAGAATCCTCATCTCGCTCCTAAGCAGCGTGAAACTAAAAATCCACTTCCAATAAACCTCCATCAGCAAAATCAAAACAAACACAAATCAATTACGAGTGCGGGAGAAGAGCATGCAAGAGCCCCTGCCCACCCTCCCCAGCACCTCTTTCTTTCATTGCGAGAAAGTTTCTGTCTGTTTATTGAGGGTGAGGGGGAGGGTGGGAGAGGGAAAGGTTCTGGTTGGGTTTGGGGAGGGAGGTTAAAAATAATAATAAATATATATATTAAAAAAAAAAGAGAGAGAGAGAACAACAAAACCCAAAACGCAGCGAGTGAAAAAAAAAATTGCAAAACAAATGAAATCCCAATACCTTCCCGTCTCATGCCAACTTTGAGGCATTTTTTGAGGCGGCAGTACTGACACTGATTGCGGTGGTGCTGGTCAATGGGACAGTTCCTGTTGGCACGACAAGTGTAGCTGAGATTCCTCCTTACACTCCGCTTGAAGAAACTCTTGCAACCCTCGCAGGTAAACTGGCCATAATGTTTGCCACTAGACTTGTCCCCACAAACCACACACTCAATGTGCTGCTGCTGCTGCTGCTTGTCTCCTTGGCTCTGCTGGCTCGGCGGGTTGGGCTGGGCCGGCGTGCTGGGGGGGCCGCCGGGGCCCGGGGTCTGCGGGGTGTGCGGGGCCCCGGCCGGGGGTCCCTGCACCGGCGGCGCTTGCGAAGGCTGCGTTCCCTGAGCTCCGGGCACATCGTCCTGGGGGTCTCGCCACGCACCGACTACCATTGCCATATCTATGGGACACCGTTGCCAAACTTCCTGTTCCCCCTTTATTTTCAAAGTTTGTTTGCTTTGCTGGTCAGATCAGCTTTGCAGCAGTCTTTTTCTCTGCTTTTTTTTTTTTTCTCTCCTCCTCCCCTCTCTCTCTCTTCCCCCCTCTCTCTTCTATTGTTTTGCCCCCTTTTTCTCTCTTTTTTTTTTTTTTGTTGTTTCCTTAGGTTTTTTTTTCCTCTCAGGAGGCTCAGGGCGGGGGGGATCTCCCGGTACCGGCGGAGGTGCAGAAGCACGGGGCGATGGAGGTGTGTGTGCGGGGGGGCGAGTTGCGAGTCGATTGTCTGGGCTCCAGGAGAGCGAAGTAAAAGAGGGTAGTGGGGGGGTTTGGGACGGGGGGGGGGGGGGAAAGGGGGGGAAGGAGAGAGGGGGAGAGAGAGAGAGAGGAGAAAAAAAAAAAAAAAAAAAAATCTCTTCAAAGATCTCCCTCTCTCTCTCTTAGAGCTGATCTGCAGCAGAGTAGTTGAAGGAGGAGAGGCGGGTGTCTGGGGGCCAGGTCCAGGGAAGCTCGCAGTCAGCCATTCAGGAAAGCCATCAAAATAAGAATGAATAAAAGGTTAAAGATTACACACACAGCGGAAAAAACCACGCGCGGCTGCGGAGGAGACTTTTCTCGGCGCGGAGAGAGGCGGCCGGTCTCGCCGTAGTTTTTGGAAGTCCAGCTTGCAGCAGCAGCAACATCAACCGCGATCGCTTTGTTTTTGTGGGCTCTCTCTTTTCTTTTTTTTTTTTTCTTTTTTTTTTTTTCTCTCCTCTCCTCTTTCTCCTCCTCCTCCTCTTTCCTCCTCTCTCTCTCTCTGCTCTGTCTCTCCTCCCTCCTCCTTCGCTCGCTTTAATTCTTCCTCTCCGCCGCTCCGCCCGGGCGCTGCTCTCTTTCTCTCTGTCTCTCCCTCTTTTGGGCTCGGGGGTGGGGGGGCTGGCTGTTTGGGTTTGTTCTTCCTCCTCCTCCTCCTCCTCTCCTCGCTCTGTTTTGATTATTATTATTGTTATTATTATTAATTATGATCGTTTATTCGCTCCTCGGTTCGCCGCTCCCGCCGCGCCGTGTCCCCTCCGCCGCCGCCGCCGCCGCTCGGGTGCTGCTGCCGCTGCCGCCGCCGCCGCGCTGCCTTATGCTGCTTCTGCCGCCTCGCAAGTGGGCTCTCGCCTCCGCGCCGCCGGTGCTCACGGCGCGGGCGGGGGGAGGGGGGCCGCGGGGCGGGGGGGAGGGAAGGAGTCAACTCGCCAGCACAGCAGCGCCCAGCCAGCCAGGATGATAAAAGAGGGGAGCGGGAGGAGGAGGAGGAGGAGGAGGAGAAGAAGAGGAGGCGGAGGAGGGAGAGAGGGAAGGATCATAACCCAGCGCGCAGCATCGCTCCTCAGCCGGGGAGGGAGGGAGGGAGAAAAAACCACCGCGGGGAACGGGGCGGGGGGGAAATAGCGACAACCCTCTCCCCCCCCCCCAATTAAAAGAGCGAAGAGGGGGATCACCCACCCCACCGGCCCCCACTGCCCCCCCCCCCACCGGCGCGGAATGGGAGGGGCGGGGCGGGGCGGGCGGCGCGTGGGCCGTAGCGGCGAGCCGGAGCCGTAAAGAGCGCGCGCGCCCTCGCGCTCTCTCTCTCTCTCTCGCTCGCTCACTCTCTCTCTCTCTCTCTCTCTCTCTCTCCCTCCCTCCCTCCCCGCCGGCCGCTCGCCCCGCTGGCGGGAGAGTGAACTTTGACACGGCTGCTGCAACTTAGCGCGCGTTGCCATGGCGACCGCGCGCCTTATAAGGCGCAGCGCAAACCACCCCCCCCCCTCACACACACACACACTCACACACACACACATCCCCCCCTCCCTTCCCCTTCCTTCCACCTCCCTTACCCCGACCGGCGTTTGACTGGTCAAAAGCTCGCGCCCCGCCCCTCGGCCCTCATTGGGCCGCGACGCCTCCTGCGCGGCCTAAACCATGGCCGCCGCCGCCGCCGCCGCCGCCCGCGCGGTCCTAGAGGCAGGCGCCGCCCCGCTGCTGCCACCGCTACCACAACCGCCACGGGGGACTGGGTGTCCCCCCGCGCACCCCGCTCCCCTCGCCCTGCCCTTCCCGTCCCCTCTTCCCGCTGGGGCGAGGGGTTAAGGCGAGCTCGGAGACGGGAGTGGAGTGCGGCCGCCGCCGCCGCCTCACCTGGGGCCGCCCGGCGGGGCACGGCCTCGGGGGTCGTGAGGGGGCGGCGGGTGCAAATCAGAGGTCTGACGCGAAACTGAGGTAAAACTGCACAGAACCAAGTGAAAACCAGCCCCGCCGTCCGGCTTCCGCCGGCGCTGAGCGGCTCAGGTACGCGCCTCGCGCCCGCTGTGGTCGCGCCGCGGCCGGCGTTGCCTTTGCCCCCAGCTCGGCCTCCCTCCGGGCGCACCGGCGGCGGCACCTGCGCTTGTCCCGGCCGCCCGCACTCAGCGTGCTGCGTGTCCTCGGCCCGGCGGTGCGGGAGAGGCCGCTAGCCCAGCACGGCCCCGGCTGGGTAACGGGGCTCCGCCGTTCGCCCCGGGCTCTCCGCCGCGGCCGAGGCACCGCGGTTCCCGCAAGACAGCGTCTTTCCCTTGCCCTGTGCTCGGAAAGACCTCGCAGCGTGTGCTGCTTGTGTCTTTCCCTCGCCACCTCCACGGCATCGCTATAGCGCAGCTCATCCCGAGCCTTTCAACTATATTTGGGGGGTTTGTGTGTTCTTTCCCCCCCTTTTTTCTGTTCTCTTGGGTCACACGTACCCTGACACGGTAACACAAGCCCTATGCTCCAGCGGGAGCACCGGTAACCGGTCTCAGCACACGGGGACAGTTGTTTATTTCCCTCCGAACAGAGCTACCGGACAGCGGAGCGGGGACAGGGGGTTCATCTCCTCGCGAAAATGGCCAAAGGACACCGGGACAAGCGAAGGGACGGAGAGATAAATAAGAAAACACGTTAACGTAGCCGGATAAAAGCCCGGCCGGACTATTCCTCCAGTGCAAACACCGTACGCTCCCATCCGAGCTGGCCGCCAAGTGCGGGCGAGGGGACACAGACCTGGGCACCCCTCCGCAAAGAATTAATTGCCCCTCACCTCCTCACACGCACTTTTTCATGTTGCCACATGCACACCCCCTCCTCCTGCAGCAGAAATAATATATGTGGCTAATGCCGCAGGTGCTGAGGTGACTGGAAAGTTGTAAAAAGGCACAGAGACTTGACAGTGTCCTGCTCGGAAACCTGGTGTACCAAGACCCCCCGAACGGAGATAGGCTGCGGCTCAATTTCAAAGACAAGGCTGCAGCATTCCCACTGATCCTGACAGAACAAACCCGACCTTTCCCCGAAATAGGGACCAGGAGCGACTGGAAAGACAGAAAGGGGGAAAGGAATCTTTTCCCGTTAAAATGTGGGGAAACTGCCTTATGATTTCCAAATAACCCAGAGCCGAGGAGGTCACCTTTCGGGGAGGGTGGGCGTTCAAAATACAGAATAGCCACAGATTGTTGCTGATGTTGAATTTCTTTAGGAGGAATAACAATAATAATAAAAAAAACCGAAACCCCAGCCCAACACCAACCTTTCCTGCCTCAAACCTGACAAAGTAAACAGGATTAATTCACCACATGAAAAAATTACATTAACGCCGTCTTAACAAACGTAGAAATCAGAAGAGAAAGCGGGTTTAACAGGACGGACAATATTAATAGTTTGAACGTAGGATCGTAAAAATGAAAAGCCATTGATACACGCTTAAAAGCCGCCGTATACGCTGATTGCTCAAGCATTAATGAAGAATGCCCCAGATTAACTATTTGCTCTTCGAGGGATGGAGCAATATAACTATCTATTAGCACCATTAGATGCTTTGCTATTTATTTGAAAACACCCCTGCGAGTGGGTTGAGGCAGAACAGATGAATGTAAAAATGAACTGCAGCTAATTTCGCTCAATAATCCTCGAAACCTGAGCGCCTCGCAGAGCAGGGGGACATTCTCCACCGTCCTTCTCCCAGCCTAATGACAATAGGAACGCTCTGTTTTAAAAGTAAGAGCGTATTGGTTTCCCAAATAAACAAACGCATCCCTCCTGCCATTTTACTGCAGATGTAAATTTATTTTAATGAGAGGGAGTGGAAGGATTTATTTTGCTAAAATAGAGTTGGGGAGAGAGCCGGTGTAAATCTTTAGGTTTAAAAAAATAGAGAAGAAGGGGAAGCTGCTTTCCTGGCAGAAAGCTTCATAACAGTCCTCTAATTCTTTCTAGATTAAATCGCAATATGAATACAGCATCGAATAAATACCGAGTTTCGCTCTGAACTCAGTGGAAAGCAGTTACGTCTAACAGAATTCAATGAATTCCTCTTCTCCCTCAATGTAGTATGTGTGTGTTTTTCTCTTCCACCACACTGAAGTTCCATGAATAGGGAAAGTGGCTCCTATTGTGTGCCTCTGAACTTCCAAGTCAATGCAATTTTTAACCACTGGCTTGTGGTACTTTGAAAATCACCAGGGGCTGTCAGAGTTGGGTCCTCTGAAAAATTTACAGTGCTAAATCAGAGCATATGCTGTGAGAGAGGAAAAAAAATTGCTTAAGATTGGAGCAAGTACAGTATCCGGCTGCCCCCTAGTGTAAGTCTCTTATCTGCCTAAAATTCAACTTTAAAAGAAAAGGATCTCTTAAAGGGAAACGACTTTTGGCTCACGTATGCGTACGAGAATGAAACTTCTGTACATTTTAATCTGATTAATTCCTAAGGATTTTAAATTAATTGGCTTGGGCACTCCTAGACCGGACTATAAGATTTCTGCAGCAGGGTTTCTGCGAGCGCTGCACCGAATAGGTATTTTTAAGGGATAGTGGTAAAGGAATGGGGGGGGGGGGGGGGGGGGGGGAAGAGAGGGAGAATCCTGTTTTGTGATTTTTTTTTTTTTAAACGCCGAACCGTGCCTCGCATGCTGCTGTCAGAGCAAAACACTTTTGCTGCTTAAAGTCACATCTACGCCTTTTGCGATAATCCTTTAAAAAATATCCATTAAAAAAAAATGAAGGAGAAATAATTGCTTTAAAGCCTCGGCCGAACTGCCAACCACACCTTCGGATGGTGAGTATATTCCAGCTTTTTTTACCCCATTGTACTTGCTCAGCCGGAGAAGGGACCGGAGGGGAGAGGGGGGTCTCGGCGCTATACCTTCCCCACTGACCGCTTGTATTTAGTATTTTATTTCTTTCCCCCTAAATAAACGCTGCCAGCTGCACCCGGCGACATAATTCCGTGCAGTTTAATACCTATCACTTAACTTAAGAGCCTTGTTTCTCCCCCCCATTCCCACCCTCCAGGGCAGGTTCCCCCCCCCTCCCTTTCCTCCCGGAGCCGGGTAAGGGAGGCTCGGACCGGGCTCTACCTCCCGGCCGCCGCTTTGGAAATGACTTTGAGGAGCTTTTCCCTCGCCTCGGACCTGGAAAGCAATTCCGGTCGTTGGGTTTGTTCGCTTGTTTGTTTGTTTGCTACTTTGCTTTATTTAGCTAAAGGACGTGCTAACTGATGGTGCTGCAATTCCACCAGCTTGGGTCTGCCCCCCTCCCCTCTTCCCCTCCTCAGAGCAACCCACGTAACCTTAGAAACGATCGTTTAAGACACACGTTAGCTAACATTTGCTTTTTTTGATTTTTTGTTTTCCTTAAAAGAGAAACACAAGAATCACAACACATTGCCCGAAAAAAAAAAAGTGTCAAAGAAGAAGAAAAAAAACTAGAAGTAAACATACCAAAACCATATTTGCCTTGTTCAAGGTCCCAAATCGCTTGCATCTTCCTTTTTCTACCTCTCCTTTAGTTTGGCAGGTGAAACAAACAAGCAACAAAAAAATAATCAGACCGCTGTTTGCCCCCCAGAAAGATGTGCGTTGGGTAATTAAAGAGAAGTCTCCTTCTTGGTGTTTATCTAAGCGATTGTGCAAACTGATAAAAAAAAAAAAAAAAAGAAAAAGGGAGAGAGAAAAAAAAAAGTAAAGTTACAGCCTTCAAGGGGGGGGGGGGGGGGGGAGAAAGGAGGCAAGGTGAAGGGAAGAGATTTCCCACAACCTAAAGGGAAGTGCTTTCGATGTATTATTAGCGATCAGCCTTGGGAGAGAGGAAAAAAACCACCACCCCACAAAAATCCTGGACACACTCTAACTTTACACAGACAAGATTTCGGGGGGGTGGAGGGTGGGGGGGCTTTGTACACAGCTGCTTAGGAATGTGCGCCTTGCCTTTAAGAAAAAATCCCCAAGCCCAAGGTAGGAGATGTCTTTGAGTGATCCTTGTCTCATTTCATTCCTTAGAAGGAAGAGCGTCTCGCTACACCTTGTTTGGAGCTGGAAAGGCGAGACTTCACAAAAAAAAAGGGGGGGGGGGGGGAAATATTCACAACCCACCCTTCCAACTGGGGAGGAAGAAAATGATAAGAGAGGGAAATCTCTAACTTAATGACTGTGGGGGTAGGATGGATGCGACTGATTTCAGCCCCCCCCCTCCCCTCACCCCCTCCTTTTCCCACCTACCCCCTCCTGCAGGAAAAAGAAAAAAAGGGGGGAAAAAGAGGAAGGAGGGAAAAAAAAAAAAAGAAAGAAAGAAAAAGCCAACCGCAAACAACTACAGGCTGAACTATCAACACATGCACCGGAGGGGAAAAAATATATAGTGTCCTGTGTAGGGTCGGCAGGGAACGCAAGCACACGCTAAAGCAAGTTGGGAAAGAATCCGAGCTAATCAGCAATCTCTTTCTCTCTCTCTCTCTCTCTCCTTTTCTCCCCCTCTCTCTCTCTTTCACTGCCCCTGAGATCCCAGCTCGCAAGAGGTACTCCACATTTTTTCATTACCAAAAATCCGTTGCAATAATCATTTGTTGCTAATTGAAACCCTTGGAGACTTTTTTTTCCCCCCACCCCCTTCACAAACATGGCAACTTTTAGACATGGGAAGCACGTTTAGTTCTATTTTATTTATATATATATATTATGGTTAGGAGGAGGCTGAATCTTTAACCTAGGAGAAATATCAGCTCATCAGCCCCCCTTTCTCCGGGGTGGGGTGGGGTGGGGGGGGGGACGGGACCCCGGTACAGTGAGGGCTTGGGAAAATTTGGAATACATTATACCGCCTTTGGCAGGAGAATACTCTCCAACTAATGGATTCCTGCTCCTTTTTGTGTGTGTGTGTATCAGTGTGGGGGGTTTCTGGAAAGAGGGGTGGTGGTCGTGGTGGTGGGGAGCCGAGCTTTTATTTTAAGGAACTGTTAGGGTAAGAAGTGTGTCATACTTGACAAATGGAACAAACGCTCTTCCATTTCTTGCTTGTCCTTGCCTTAAAACAGGAATTAAGTTAACCACAGTGCTGCATGTTAATTGCATGTTTACTGGGCTAATGAAAATTACAAAAGGGTTTTGCCACCTCGATCCGCGATGATGAAAAAGTAGGAAGACGATCGTCATCGCAGCCTTCGGGGAGGGCCGGGCCGGGGGTGGGGGGGCCGGGCCCGGGCAATATTGATCAGAAGAAGGATAAATCTTTTAACTGCTCGTTAATACCATAAATATGGTCTACACAAGTTTCCACTCTTGTTAAGTCTAATCAGTACATGGAAGATGGAGACAGAGCCCACTTGAATGAATTTTTATTATTGCCAGAGGGGTGCTTGCATCTGTGGGCTCTCTCCCCTCCTCAGTTTGCCCCCCCCAACTTCTCCTTTCCAAAATCTCCCTTTGCAGAGGAGGATCGTGAAGGTGCACAGGAAACACAAGAGACCAACTCAAGCTTTTCAGCCTTTCTCCCCTTTTCCAAACCCTCTTTTTTGCTGTAAAGCTGAGCGGGTCGTGGTGTGGAAAGCCTAAAGGGGAGACATCTCTCCCCACACCCCAGACCCCCATTTAATTCTTGAGATCCGTGGATGAAAAGACAACCTAGTAATTCAGTTTGATGATAACCATTTTCATGCTTGAAAACAATCTGCCAAATTAAACCTAAATGGAAAGAGCAGTGGGAAAGGTAGTGGGAGCAAGGCATTTCGACAACACCCCCCCCCAAAAAAAAAAAAAAAGGGATTGTTTGGCAAGAGGAGGAGGGAAAGGCAATTAAATAGACTAAAGATGATTTAAATCCCAACCAAAAATAATTTCAGGGAGAAGTTTCCCCCCCTCCGGTGTTGCCCAGCCCTGGATTTGAAAACTTTGGCCCAACTTGTGACGATAGCTACAACTTTGCTCCGCAGGGGTCAGAGGTGAGGGCTATTTTAACCCTAAAAGCCTGCTAGTGACCAAGGTTGAGGCTGGGCTCGCAGCACTAATAGCCATAATTACCTCCTCCCCTTCCAGGGACATTCCTTGCTGCAGCAGTGTTAGACGCCGAATTGAAGAAAATGCTGGAGTTGAACATATCTTGGGGCGTAAATAACAGCAATATGAAGGAATTTCAGAGCTCTCCCTTTTGCTTGGGGGGATTGAAGCCTCTTTTTTTTTTCCTTTTTTTTTTTTTTTCCCTTTCCTCCTTTTTCTCCCCCCCCTTGCCAGCATTCCCAAGGCGCTGGGTCTTTGTCTTAGAAGGAATGGAGTGTCTGAATGGTGTGAAAGGGACAGAGAGGGTTGCTTCAAATCGATTTTACTTGTCCTCTCTGTCTTTTCGGATCAACGCCCTTCAATGGACACATAGGTGCTCTTTCAACCAAAAACTTGTGCAACATTTTCTGCCTGTATTGGTGCTAAATACAATAAATGCTGGGCAGATTTTTTTTTCTTCTTCTTTCTTTCTTTCTTTCCAAAGCAGAAAGCACCCTAATTAAATTGTTTTATATGGACAGTCAAGACAGACCAATTAAGTATGCATTAGTATAAAGATATATTCGAGAGATAAGCGCTCTATAGGAGCCCTGTCTAGGCAAGGTGTGTAAAGTGTCCTCTCAAGAGAGGCTGTAAGCAGGGTTTCATATGGATTTTTCCCCTCCATTGCCTCCTATACTCGAGTAACGGACTGAATAAGTTAGGGAAAAGCCATTAGTGGAAGTGGTTTCTAAACAAAGTTAACAGGTGGATGTATCTGGGTTTAGATTTGAATAACAGTAGCACATCTGTAACACACAGCCATATATTTATGCAGCACGGATGCGTGCAATGTACATTTACAGAGATAAATGCCTTCAGCCCATAGCTTATGTGCAAATGCACACACACGGAAATAAAATAAATAGCTGGGCACTTCTGTAGGCTCCAGGACGTGATGTGAGGAAGAACACACACACAAACACACCCCAGATATAACCCTGTATCTATTGTGTAGAGGCACCCAGCCCTGCATCAGGCACCCAAGGCATAGCGGTCTCGCCTGAGTGTGCTGCACAGACACCTAACCCGAGACCAGTGGGCACACAACACACACTCCTGGGGTAATTACATGTGGAAATATTTCCTATTCGAGGCAGAGGCTTTCCCAGGAGTGAAATAACTGATCAGGATAAAACATACACTCGCACACACACAGAGGAACTTCTCTTTCTGACCATTTTATCACCCTGGGAAAGCTCTGGTGTATGGTTAACCACAGGAACCGGGCTTTAAGCTCCTCTCTGTTTCATATTCCATTGCCGTCGGTATATGTTTTCCCCTCACTGTAGATTTTCCATGTCGTTCAAAAAACTCCCTCCTAAACAGACAAACAAAAAAGGCGATATCCGCCCCCCCCCCATCGCTCTGCCTCAACCCTGATCCTGGGTCAGGGAGAACAGCGGGATGCGAGGAGGAGGAGGGAGGTGGGCTGGAAGTCGCCGGGGCACCCTCCATCCTCGGGCACTGCATTACCCACCGCCGGGGCAGAGCCCTGGGACGAGCCCGGTGCCCGGAGATGCTGCAGGGAATCGGGGAATCGGCTCTTTATCGTGACATTGCACAGCAGGGACAGGACTAGGCTTGGCTGGAGGGGCCGGGGGTGTGGAGCAGCGGGGTGACGACTGCCCGGGGTGATACTCAGAGCTGTGTTAACCCATCAAAGGGATAAGGGAGACGAGGAGGAATAACCCATTCCTAGCTTAGGTGCTTTAATGTCACGGTAGACAGGTTAGAAACGGCCGTTTATAAAGCCTCAATTTCTCTTTACTGGTTACCCTTCTAGGATAAATCATAACAGACTGTATGGGGGGCAAAGAATTCATCTAAAGGAGATCTCAGCAAGTCACTACCCGGACAATAGTCCACCTCCTGTTGGGTTGGGTATTGATCAGGAGAGGAGCTGAAGATGTCGCCACACTAAATATTTACTGATCACACACAAATAGCCGCGGCTTGAACGATTTTCTCCTGTGAGGAGAGCAGAGAGAAAAGGGTAAATCATTTTATTAGTGTGTATAAAGCAAAGAGCACACTCTGGCTTGGAGTGTTTTAAGATGTGTCTTCAGCTGGATGAAAAGAGTTAGGGAAATCGATATGGAGTGATTAGACGAGCCAGTCGTGTCAAAGAGAGAGGCTGCGAATTTCATGGATTTGGTTATACCGGGAGGGGGAAAATATATCGAGAGATTAAAGGGAGGAACCCATTGTAGCAGAGCCAATGAAAAAATAATATCTAATCAGTCCCGGCAAAGGTAGTGACGGGATAAGACCCACATTTCTAGAGAACCACATCAGCTGGAGAGGGATCAGGGACACACATGAAAGAGGCAAACGGGGGGAGAGCTGGCGAGTGGGAGCCTAGAAATGCTACAGAGCAAACCCAGGGGAGGCACAGCAAAGTCGGCTCTGTGGAGCAATGCTGAGACACCACGAAAATGGGGACAAAAGCCTCGAGGGGAAGGCGAGGGCTGGAGTACACGGGCTTCGAAGTGAAGTTTGGGGGGTCTCCAGCCCGGTGCCCACCAGGCAGGGAGGTCTCTAAGCAGCAGAAGCGAGGGCACATCCACCTCAGGTGCGAGGACTTTAAATCCTTCTCCTGTAAGTTTGTTCTCCCCCCTAACACTCTCCCCAAGCAAATGTGGTGAGTAAAATGGATTTTAGCGTTTAACCACCTCATTTTATCCACGTAATGACAAGGCTCGTAATATGTAATCTACAGATTACTGCCATTCGAGGGTGACCACAAATGGCATAAAAAAAAAATATAATCAGCGTTTCCGCAAATGGCAAAAAAATGGCTAAAACCAACCCGTGCATTAAGTATTGGAGTTGGGGAGTTGCTGCTGCAGGATTTCATCGGTCGTAGGGAGCAATTCAGCCGTGGCTCAGGTACAGCCCTGGGCTGTCTCGGCGGATTAAACAAAACTTTGCTGGAGACAAGCAAATGTCTCAGTGCCAAAGGGCATAAAGCTGGGAGCAGGGCAGGGCTTTGCCAAGCGACGTTAAAACATGTTCTTTAAGAGATGCTCGGGGTTATTATTGTTATTATTCCATTGTTTTTTCTCTAGTCACTGATGTTTGGGCCGTGCTCAACCGCTACCTTCTCTCTGCATGCTTTTCTTTAGCAGAAAATAGGATGCGGCTGCAGAGAACTAAGTCCAAAGAGAGGGAAAGTTTGAGCCGCACTTTTAAGTGATGCTGATGGCTGGGAGCGAGGGAAGGCATCTAAAGCTAGGAACCGAGGAGTACAACTGATGTGAAAGCAGCTTTTCACTTCTCCTCTAAGTGCTAATTTTGCTACTGTAAACAAACACTGAAGTTAGAAACAGCTGCAAATAGCCTTGCCGGGCACCCAGGGCTCAGGGACCGGAGGGGAAAAATGACTTTTGTGCATCTCTTGGGTTGAATTTCACCCCAAATTTGCCTTTCCCCTCCCCCCCCGCCCCGAAATCAGTGACTGATGCTGGGTTTAGTGGTGGAGAAGGGAGGGAAAAAAATAAAATAGGCATATTAAGAGCATTTCATGTGAACCTATAGAGTGCAGGCAGCTCGGCTGGATCACCAGTGCAACAGGAAACCTCGGGATAGACTCAGCCTAATTAACAGTTTTCCATAGCTGAAGCGATTTTTAAGAATCCCAGTGGATTAGCCCAATATGTTCAGGTGTGAGGCTACGAGGGCCTATAACTCCTTTCACTATAATCTTATAACCTCCTTACCTAATTCCTTAGATTGCAGATAGGAAGAGTCTGACCCTGGAGGTCGCAAAGAGCTTGGCTGCATTAACCCTTCCCTGCCCGGTGCTGGCCCAAGGTGAACGGCGCTGAGATGCGTTTGGGGGAGGGAGGTCAGGATAAGGGGGTTGCAAGAGGGATCGATCCGACTTGGGGTGGTGGTGGGGAAAGGCTTAAACTGATTTGTGCTCCCTTCATTCGCCTCGTTTGAGCCAAAGGAAAAATGGAAAGGGAACTTTCCTCTCTCCCATGCGCTAGGAGGTTCATAAACGCACGGGATTTGTGAGACAATTCATTCCCTTTATACCGTTTCAGAGTTATTTTATTGTATTTTCAAATAATTCTTTTTCTTGCCAAACGTGGAGGAAATGAAACATTCTAGAAACGTCAGCTATTGCAGAAAGCAGAGCAACCTCCATCTTTAGGACCAGCAGCAATCTCTTGAGCTTCTTGCCCATGGTAGAGCTGTAATCTTTAAAGAGGAAAAAATAATGTAGAAAAGCTTCTCGGAGTGTGTTTGCCTGGTAACACATTTGGTTTATGTTTTAATAGGTAGTTATATTGTATTGATTCAGGGTACATCACGGATGCTGAAAGTTAATAACTCTCAAATTATATCTATCTGCCTACATACATAATTGCATACACAGTATTAACACTGTAAGGATTTGCATTTTGCAGCACATTCTTTGTCCTTAAATCTTTTAACACGTTGAATTGTTCCTTTGAAGAAAATGTTATTGAACCGTATGTTTAAAGAAAAGATGCTTGTAAACTATGTGTTTTAGCAATGAAATTGTTGAGTGAAATACAGATTTCTTTGTATTTCACACAAGCCTTGCCATACGCCAATCTTAACCTGTACATCCAAACTGCCTTTTTTTGTTGTTGTTCTTTTTCCCTTCTCCCAGTTAGAAGGCAGAAATACGCGAACTCCTGAGAGAGGTGGGTACTTTTTGGTAAGTATGTTTAAATATGATCTTCAGATACATTTATTGTACTTTCAAATTCTTCAGATACTCATTGAGCTAGTAAACAATATCCCAGCTGAATGTCTCAGCTCCTTCCCTATTTAACAAGGTTTTCATATAGAATTATACTGTAGCCATCCTTCTGCTAAACAATATAGCTGAGGAGTCACCAGAAAGGGAAAAATATGTTAAAACCAAATTATAATTGCTGCCTTATATCTGACTCTTCTTCCTTTCTGCAGTCCTAATGGACTCTTTAAAGTGGTGTTTTTTTTTATTATTTCTGAGTGACAGATCAAAGGTAATTAGCAGAATCAGAAGCAGCCGGAAAGCTTGAAATAATGTGTCTAAATATTTCATATTGCTACTTATAACACTAGCCCATCAGTTGTAAAAAAGAACCATTCCCTATTTATTCTGCAGCAGTTTATAAATACAGAAAGATAGATTCTTTTTTTTTCCAGGGCCTGCCTCAGACATGACATAAATAGAGATTGAACTATCAGGGAAGAGAAAAGAATATAAACCCAAACCCCTGGACAGGAATAGACACAGGCAGATATATAACTGCATATGAACAATGTTACATACCGTGTTCGGGGATGGTAACAAGAAATAATAAATAGATCGCATATTTATAACCTTATAATTAAAATACATTCTTATCTCTCTCCTCTGAAAGGTTGCAGCTTTCTTGGATATATTTTGATTGCATATTTTAAAGTCCGTGTCCCGAATTGAATTGAGATGAGCTGTTTTACCCAAGAGTAAACCCCTTGTTTACAATTTGATGTTTAAGTTTCAACTGCCTATCAATTGCCGTATCATTTCCTTTGTATTTTACCTCCTTGCACTTGGAGACTTTATTTAAAATGGTGCTAGTTTCTAGCAAATGCTAATTTCTGTGTATCGGAAATTAGCCAATATTATCCAAAACAATCCCTGTGTTTGGCTGAGGCAAATTGGATGAGATTTTTTTCCCATTCAAAGGGTTAAAGCTAAACTGAAAACTTTAAAGCCAAGGGATACCAGCAAACAGTAAAAAATGGCACGTCTGCTCTCTCTTGACAAGCTTGCATTATATCAAATGTAAGGAAGCCCAGTTTTCTGAGTCTAAGACCAGTTTTAGTTTTTAATAGGAAATAATTACATGGAACTTTATTTCCAGAGAGAACGTCCCTTCCAGCTACAGTGTTTTGCTTTGATCTAAGTATTAACTGGTAATAAAATAACCATATTTTGGATCCTAAGCATATTGATGCTTAAAGGAATGTTATGCTTTCAATCAAAATCTAACTTGAGATTATCCAAAGGTATTCATCCTTCTTTTGTCAGAAACCAATTTGCTCTCTTATTCCCACAGCTACCCACATGTGGTTTAGTATACTTTAGCTGTTTTTTTACAGTAGAATTTGCACTATCGAGGTGGAAAACTTTTAAATGGAGAGAGATCATGTTCCAGCCTGGTAATTTGGGCTGTTTCTCATAGAGCGACCCAGTCCAGCCCTTCTTTACACTTGTTGTACACCACCAGCATCGCCCATCTCCGAGGGTGACTACCGCAAACGTCTCTGCAGCAGGATTTTGGTTTAAATCTTCAGATTTTTTTTTTGTTTCTTTTTAAAACCTGCAGAATCAATCATTTGGACCCATCCTGAACAATTAACCTCGTCTTTATATTACAGCCCCAAGCACAGTACTTCATAAAGACATGAAAAGGACATCCCAGACAGCAGGACCCGATCCCAGGCTTGTCACAGAGTATAAAAGGAGAGAGAAGGGGAGTTTTTATCTCTTTGCCCCACCAATTCTTAATAGTTCTAAGTTTCAGTGTGACAATAAACCAGTTTTGATAACATAGCTCATGGGTTTCCCTGCCACATAAAGTTTTCTTAATAATAAAAAAGAAGAAACTTTATCCCTGCTAAATTAAAATAGGGCAGATGTTGGATATGGTTCATATTAGACAGCCTTTCACCCTTTTGCCCCTGGCACTAAAGTTCTGACTTTTTCTTTCCACTATGTCTGCTTCTAACTGAAAGGTATTATTCCTGCCCTAGCCCTCTTCTTCTATTTATTTTTTCAGCGCCTAAAATTAAACCTATTCATTTAGTAATATACATTCTATTGCAGATTGCTAAATCTGGGCAGAGAGGGAAAACGTTTTGCTAAAAGTGATGCACCACTGACCTTAAAAGAAAACATGAAGCAGGGAAAGCTGTTCTGAAAAGGTTTATTTCAGGAGAATTCTGTAGCTCTGTTGACATTATAAGGATAATGGCTGTATTGCAATGCGCTTTCAAGGCCCAAGAGGTTTATGTTTTCTTCTGACCATAAGTATAATAAAATTTTAAAGGTGCACAAAGTCTCATCACTTTAGATATTTAAAACTAGGTTGAAAAAACCCTTAGGAAACACACATTACAGTGGACAGCCCTGCTGAGAGAGCAGGAAATAGGGGAAAAAAAAACAACAAACCCCAAACCCAAATAAAACCCCCAGGTTTTTTATGCTAGCTCTATGAAAATCCTGGCTATTAAACTCCCAAGGATAGCACAACTCTTTTCTCTAGGGCTGTGAAGATAGAATTTATTGTCCATTTGGAACGATCAAGTTTAGGCTAATAAAAGGCCCTCTGTAAGCAGAAGTGCCCAAGTTGATGTTTGGCAGAGTTTTCAATGGTAGAGTTTATATAGGATGGGGGCTCTGCGCTATTCGAAATTACTCATCTCTCAGCAGCCGAGGATGAGTTGACATACAGAAGTAAACGTTAGTAGGCAACGGCTGAAGGTTAATCAGCACTGCTTTCTGAACTGGAGGGTTGAAAGCAGGAAGAAGTGAAAGCTGCTCTCTCGAGCCCTTCCTTTTGCTAAGGTGCTGCTAACTTTTATGATTTTTCTCTCCCCCCCTCCTCTCTTCCTCTTTTACTATCTGTCTTTGTGCCTGAGGGCCAGTGAAAGAACACTGCAGATTCTAGATTGCTTTCAGAGTTTCCCTTTGCTGATGATGGATTACCATGTCAATTTAAACGGCATAGGATTAATTTGTTTCAATGATTTCTCTTTAGGCTGAATGCCAGTCTTTTTTTTCCTGTCTTTCTCTTTGCTCTTAATAATAATAACAATAATAATAATAAAAAAATCCTTAAAAACCCCAAACACTTTTGATCTCCCACATTAAAAAGACAATAATAGAAACAGACAAGTTAGGTGTAATGTTGCAAAACAGTTGTAGGTTTGAGTGTTTTTATCTCATTCTAAGGGGCTGAAGCATACAGTCAGTCACATTAAAATGAAATTGGATCCAACGTTTATTCAATAAATACTTGTCTTGTAGGTAATCCAGAGCAGAGTGCTTTTGACACATAAGGACTTAATTTGTCTTGGATAACAAGTTATTAATATGGCACATTTAAACTTGCCACCTACAATAAGGTCATTTAGATCTATAATACGACTCGCAAGAGAACTTCATAAAGCCAGAAACAAAGTTTGAGGCTGCCTCCGAGTTGTGGAGCAGAACGTGGTTTGCTCTTTTCAGCAGAAAGTTCAGAGCCAGTAAGAGCTACCCAAACCCAAGTGGTGTGCATCTGCTCTCCTTTGGAAGGCAAACGTAAATGGAGTAAGGAGGGGAGAGGGAAAAAAAAGAACCCAAACACACGTTTTTGAATGAGTAAGCTCGAAAGCTGCGCTGCGTCTGCTAGCAAACTCATCGCAGCTTTGGGAGTGAAAAAACAACATTTGGTTCCGAGTGGAAATTCGCCTGCGTTTGCACCCTACCTCTTCCATGTGCTTTGCAATTTACTTGCCTTTAATAATAAGCGAGGAAGTTGGAACATAATCCACCCATAAATGTTATTGCTGTAATTTGACTGTGCTGTGTTTGTTCATGCATTAGCCGTATATGTAACGCGAAGTGGGGATGTATGGTGGTGATCCCCGTGCAGCCTGAACAAACAGAGATGTTTTGGTACATACTGGATTTCAACCCCCAAATGCTCTGCAATCTGGGAAGCTGGAGGTGGGGTGTTTAGTTTCAGACCTGTCCTAACCAAACAATGCCTGCATGAGGTTCATCAGGAGTGGAATATCGGGGGCATGTGATGCAGGATGTGTTCTGTGGCTGGTGACTCGGTGTCCACACCGTTATGCATGAGCTTTATTATTCTGCTTTGATGTATTAAGCTCTTGGTTGCCCCTGCTCTGGCAGATTCTGTCTCTTTAAGTAACTAAATCTAATTTTTAAGCTCTTCCTGGGAAAAGGATGTTACACATGAGTAGAAAAACGCAGGCGAGAAAGGCTAATTGAATGAAAAGAGAGAATTAGGTTAAAAATAGAGTACAATCTAGTATCACATTTTCACTAGTGTAACCTGAAATGAAGGTGTCTCCAAGTCCCTAGTGATGCCAGAGTGTTTAGATGTTGGGCACAGATGGAGACACCTATTGAAATGTGTCTGAAGAAGATTAATAGGACTTGTCAGTGTTGGGAAAGCACTGCTTTGCTGTAAATTTCTACTAGCACAAGATGAATTACCGATGAATGCTCAGTTATCAACCCCATCACTATCATTGGACACTAAATCAAATTGAGCAGTTATCTACAATCAGAAAATTTCTTTTAAAAATAGGCATACACCTTTAGGCTTAAACTCTTTTATAAGGCAAAATCCTCTGTGGTATGTGTGTGTTCATGAAGGGATATGATTTAAAGTTTCTATACAAAAAGCTTCTGTTCAGAAACAAACTCCAAGTTTAGTGTGAAATCTGAGTTGTCAAACAATAGAAATATTCAGAAAATACTGGTTATATGATACAATGTTCTGCTGGGGGCCTGATCCAAAATGGATTTTCGTGCATGTCATTGAATTTTGGATCCGTCCCTATTTGTGAGAGGTTTTTCTTTCATCCCTCCTCTCCCCTTATTTTTGGTGATGATAAAAAAACTTCTCTCTACCTTAAAGACTGAGCATCCAAGATCATATATGAATGCAGAATAGCTGTCAAGACTCAGGATTTATGTATCATAATAATACCACCCCCCAACTTATTTATGAAATTACAGCTTAACATAATGAAACATGCGATGAAAGAATCAATGAATAATATGTTAACTGAGAATATTTCCTTCTATCCTTTATAAGAGGGGAAACTGTCACAAGAAAAACTATCATAAACATTTACCATCCCGCTGCTGAAGTACATTACCTGTACTTACTGTGTGATGTTGATGATGACAATGATATTAAATAAGCATCCTCTATCTTTAGTTTCTAGGATTTCTTTCCCTCTCACCCAGGCATTGTGCTACTTTATCCAAGGAGATTTATCGTGGCGTATTTTCAGAAGTCAATTTTTACCTTTTATTATAGACAAGGGCAGTCATTTATGTTTAGGGAGGGAGACAGGTACAGTGCCTTTATCAGATCTGTGTCCCCAGCCACAGCTCCCTTCTTAATCGATGGCAAATTCCCACTCTGGAGGATCGGGCCCTATCTGGGCTGCTTCTCAGCCCAGGAATGTATCCTTCCCTTCACCTCCACATATCTTACCTGTGATGTATGCTACTTTTTGAGGAGGGAATAATACGCTATTTACCACAAAGTGCAGCTTCAAAGCCTTTGTGTGTTTCTCATCTCCAGCCAAAAGCTTATTATTTACCACCTCATAAATTTACCCGGGTGAGGGATAGTAGCAGTTATTGTCTCCAGTTTTACATCCTAATTTTCACACACCAAAATGCCCTGTATTAGGGCCAGATTCTTACTCAGATGGAAGTTATTAACTTTAGCAGAACAGAGCCGATTTCAGCCAGCCACAGCCCGTGCCCTTCTAACACAGTCACTTTACAGCGTCCCCTTGTTTATTTTTTCCTTTGGAGGGCATGATTCGTTAAACATGTTTGTTTTACACAGAGCAGCAGTTGATTCCTAACTTCTCCCCCCCCCCCCCCCCCCCCAAAATATAAAGAGAATATTAATAGAGAATATTAATAGAGCTGAGTGCGGTGTGATGCTAGTTAGATTGTAGTAGCCGAGAAATATGAACTAGCGAACATAATCCATAAACTCCATTTGGTTACTATAATACTCCAATCTGTATTTATTACAACCCCACTCTGATGCTTATACAACTGCAATTGCTAGATTTATACACTTTAATGGTTTCACAATAGGAAAAACCTGTGTTCTTTATCTTTCTTTTCCTGTCCAAAATAACCCCTTCCACATATACTTCAGGCTTCTCCAGACCTTGTCTGGGTTTAATCACAGGCTCTGGGACAAAATGTGCATTATTAAGAAATATAAATATTTTCAGAAGCAATCAAAGGGTTGAAAGATTGATTCGGCATGTAGATTGGATTTAATTCGAAGCAGCTTTGTTCTAATGAGGACTACTGGGATACAAAGACGGCAGCCGCTTATGGCCACCAGTTGGGAACTTCGACTCGCTGCAGCAACCTGTCAAGAATTTCAAGGGACTGCCAGGTATTAAGCAGAGAAGTGATGGGGAAGCTGGTGGTCTATTGTTTTCAGCCTCCTTCCGAGGCTGGATTAAGGCTTCATAGTCCCTGTTTTCCCAAAATGACAATTAAGGTTAATTTCTTGCTGCCCACAGGACCAAATCCTGTTCAGGGGGAAGCCCCTCTGGACTTTATGGGGGGCTTTGCCTAAGGGAGAGGTGGCAAAGTTTGGCTGAGCCCCAAGTCCAGCAAATCTGAGAGCCCCGTAGTGATTTGTTCTGCTTCCAGACCTGGTGTGGCTGCTTTTGGTGGCTATTTCTGTTAAATTTTGCTACCTGTGCTCCTATACGGCACAGGACCTTTTTGCATAGGGCAGTGTTTTCCCTGTGGCGAAATACAGCTCTGTGTTGGCTGGGAAGCTCTTGTGTCCTTGTTGGGTGACCTGGACCTGTCCTGTTTCCCGGGGAAAAGTCTCAGACATGCAACAAAACATCCTTGAGGTGATGCTGAATAAAATGGGACACCCGAGAGCTTTACCCTTAGACTTAAAAGAACCCCCCAAACAGTAAGATTTCAGTGTGCGCCGTGTGGGGGTGTCACATCACAGGTATTTGGGGAGCACAAGACCCTGGCAGCTTTCCTAAGTGTCTAGCGTACAGTCAGAATCACAGTATATATAGGATCAAACACTGACTAGTTTCTCTCTCCCCTTAGCCCCCCTCCCTTGCCTACTTTTGTCCATAAAAGCAAGAGAAAGAGAGAAAGCTTGAATTTTCTGAACTGTTTCACCCATCCACAGCTGGAATTCCAAAGCGAAATGAAAATGCCTTTAAAATCAACCCTACATGGGAGCCTGAGAGAACAAGTTTTCCTTTGTTGTAGGGTATAGTATTATTTGCTGTAGGTTTTTGATATACATTCTAAATTAGGCCTGCAAAGGAATGCTTCATCTTTAATTCATCACTCTCAGCTGAAAGAGATTAGCAATGTCTAGCACGCACCCTTCGTATGGTGCTGACCTCATCAAGTATGGCCTGAAATTAATTAGCCTCATTCATTCCAAATGGAAAAGGATAATGGAGCTGCATTTTAGAGATGACCATCACAAATTGTATGCAGCATATTTAAAATCCCTCCTCCCCGCCCCCCCATTCCCCTCCCCATTAAAAAAACTATGTAGATTAAAATTCTTTCCAGAACTTGCAATATGTCAGAGTTATCGAGCAGAAACCACTCCGTTTTTATTTGTGGAACTGGGAGCCACGTTTTGTGTGTGTGGCTGTAAAAGCAGCAAGCCTGTCATAAATGGCACAACACCTGGAATTAATCTGATATTTCCAGGTGCTCTGGCAAGCTGGGGCATCAAGCGCTTGGTGTTTAAACATTCTTCCACTGGCTTGCTTAAATCAATATGAAAGTGGTGTCCCTTTGTCATTCATAGATGCAAAGTGCTAGCACAAACTCCAGCTTGGCTTCAGAGTCCTACATCACTCATAATCTAATTAGAAATCAGAGCAGAGCCGAAGCAGCATTCTTTGTGGATTCTTGGGCAGCAAATAGGGATACTTGTCTTTTGTTTCCCTCCTCGATTGCATCGTTCACAAGCTTTCACACCACATCTCTAAAGGTGGTTAGGTGCCTCAAGATGTTGACAGGCATGAAGGACAAGATTATTTAGGTATTTAGGTGCCTACCCAGGGTGATTTCAAATGGAATTAAGCAACTGGATGTTACTGGGGGAAAAAAAGGGGGGGGGGGTGTGCAGGAAAAAGAAAAGCTTCCAATGCGTATGAAAAGCTCTAATTTGTTGTCCTAAACTCTAGCAACGTGGGCGATGTTTTTCCAGGGTAAAATTGCCTGCAGGGTGAATTTACTGAAGTCTGGCAGTTTATATTGAGATGAGTGGGTCCTTGGTTTTGGGCAGTGCAGCTCCATCAGCTCCTCCCTGGCCAGGCACAGGGGTGGTGCGTGCTCCCGTTGCTTCCCAAGAGACAGGAAAGTGGTAAAGAATGCAGGATTTCCCACAGGAATTTGGAAGATGCCCATGTTTAAGACAATGGTGAGGATTGAGCCCAAATCCAGATCCAGCCTGGATTCCTCCACCTGGGTAGTCCTGTCTCAACCTACAACTGCTGATGGATAGTGGCAACGTGGATCTTCCTGTCTCCTTACTCCCCAGCACCAGATCACCAAGAGGGCCTGAGATAATACTGTGAGTAAAAGACACGTTTTTTCCTCACACCAAATAATTCACTGTGAAACTTCATATTTTGAAATAGCAAGGTCAGAATGGCCACTATCTGCAATACCAGGGCTTGGGGAACGTTTCTGCTCTTTGTTCACCCAAGGAAGGCTGAATATATAGGGGAAACATTTTGTGATATGTGCTGTAATCACCCCGCACCCAGGAAAACTGAGAATTAAGTATTTCTCTTTAACGCAAACAAACATTTGTCTTCCAAAGACTCCATTCATTAAGACTGCCATTGAATCCAGGATTGAACCCATTGTTATTAATCCTGAATGAATTCAAGTTTGCCTACCATGAACAAAGCTGCTCACCATTTGATAATCCAAATTTGTTCAGGAAGAAAGAATGAACAAATGTTAGAAGCAGCAGGTGAAATCATAGCACAGTTATTAAGCCTTCTTTCAGGGGAAGCACAGGATAGATTAAATTGTTATGTTAGGCCATGTTGTAAGTCCACGTCAATTTTGTTTGAGATCTTATCTTAGCTCGGAACTGTTTCCTCCTAAATTAAACTAAATGCTGAAGACATGAGAAGCATATTGACCCAAAGATTCAAAACTCTGGACTCAGCAGCCTTCTGATCTTTTGTCCACAAAGTATCGAGTTGTAAAGCTGTGGAATATTAAATAATCATGATTATCTTCAACTTGCCTAAGTTCATTTGTCATGCTGAAACACTTTCATGGATTTTCCTTGCTGTTTCTTTCAGGACAAAACATTGATTATGCCTGAAAGCTGGTTTCATTTGCCACTGATTTTACCGACTGTGGTCCTATACTGATATTAAGTCTCATACACTAACCATAGCCTGTAATTCTGTCCATGGTGCTCTCAATCTTCCTTTTGCAAACACCATTGTCCAATAAAGCAATAAATAAAAATCCCACAATCAAAATGACCTAACTATGCTGGTACTTTGACTAGCTGTTATCAGGCACAAGCAGTTCTTGAAACGCAGTGTAATTCACCTGGGGTAAGAAATCAAATTCAAAATGAGCTGAACAGACATTCTTAGGAATGAGTAAGTTTCTAAATAAACCAGCTTTTTTATTCCACCTTTTCTATATTAGTACTGTAAATCAATATAGGCTGCACTCGGAGAAACCAGATGAGTTTGAACTGTCATAATTAAATATCATCCTGTTTCTTGCAGCACAGTCAAGCAAGGAGTTTTACCCATAACACAAGAGTTTTCTCAAGTATGGACACCTTACAGCAATGATTTAAGCTCCAAGTAGTTCTATCATATTTAGAAAACAATTCTCTACCCAAATGCATAACACAATTCATGCCTGTTGTCACAGCACTGAAAAGACAGAGTTATATAAGAAATAATATTGTTTAGATGCTTTTTAATGATGATACATTAAATAATGTGATTTACTCAGTTGGACTTCTAATTATCTACATGCAAAACTGTGTATTCATTCATCATTTCATTCACTTCAGCTAATGTCAGTTAGTGGTAGACATTAACACTAAGCCATAAGTTTGAATGGGAAGAAAACCAAGGAGAGTGCAAAGCTGTATATTAGCTTAGACAAGTAGGATGTCATTGCCAGCCTGAATTTGCTGATGAGACCAGGCATTAAGCAAGTAAATCTTTAGCCACTGAAGCAACAGTTCACTCAGTTTCAGTAATGACATCCAGTAGGCAAAGGTGTGGATTTACAACAGTGAGTACCTATGTACTAATAACAGCCACTTAGCCCCAACCACAAAATAATGAGCCGAAATGGAGATTCACCTTTCCCCTGAAAAAATATATATATATTTTTTTTTCCTTATTTTAGCATCATTTCAAATGTCCAGGAGCTAGGGTGTCCTGGGTTCAGCAGTAGCAGTCATTTTTCTCCTCCTTGGTAGCTGGTGCAGTGCAGTGTTTTGACTTTCAGCTTGGGAACAGAGCTGATAGTGATGTTTAGGTTTGGCCAAGGACTTTGTGAGCCTCATGCTCTGCCAGGGAGGAGGGGAAGCTGGGAGGAAGCAGAGACAGGACACCTTTGGGAGTTCCGGAAGGGCCGGGGACTGCAGGGTTGGAGGAGGTATATATATTGGTCGGGCTGGGGGGGGCGAGTTATCGGTCGGCTGGTGGTGAGATGATGTATTCTCTTCCCTTGTTATTTCCTTTATCATTATTATCATTGGTGGTAGCAGTAGTGATTTGTGTTATACCTTAGTTACTAAACTGTTCTTATCTCAACCCGTGGGAGTCGCATTCTTTTCGATTCTCCTCTCCATCCCTCCGAGAGCAGGGGGAGGGCAAGAAAGGGGGGGAAGTGAGCGAACGAATTACCTGACTGGGTTTAAACCACGACATAGGGTTTGGCTGTTTTTGTAGTGTGGAAGGATTTTAAGTATCGAGTTTATGGAGTTGTTCAAACAATTTCCTTTCTCACCTAGAAAAGACTATGGAGATGTTCAGTGGTACAAAAAGGTATCCAGCTCCCAGTCTTGGGGTCTGTGTGGTGAGGTCAGGCCTTTCTGTGGGCTGGGATTTGTTCCCATTTGGATCAGACATCAGTGACCTGTAGTGGTTTCCTCTAAATCACTGGGCATTGCAGGTCCACACAGTGAGCTCATGTGCTGAAAACAGAAATGTGTTGAGTTGCCATCGTAGTTCTTTGTCCCAGCTAAATTATTTGTCTCTCCTTCTGCAAGATTTTCTTTCTATACATCCTGAGTATACCATCCTTTTCCTCTAAGAACAACATAAATGAGTACTCTATAGGTGTAATTACGACAACAGTTCTTTCACTGCAAGTACTAGAAGACTGTAACCTGTAATTCACTTTTGCTGATACTCCTCTATTCTAACACTAGACATGTTATTTTAAAATGTCTAGGACCTGAAAGCTAAATTTATATAGTGATATATAATAACAATGGAAAGTAAGCCTCCTCCTTAACTCTGGCTTTAGAGCTATGTTGCATCTCTCTGCCAATTGGTGTCTTGTTCACCTATAAATATCACTCCCATAATGGTTCCAATATCAGAGTTAAACAGGAGGAAGCAGGATATGTCTCCATCTGTTTAATTTAAGATAAAAATCTATGAAAACCCAGGACATACTAGCACGCAATTTCTTCTCCTGTGTTATTCCATGGCAATTTTATGGGCAATAGTGCATTTGCTTCTCCACAGTGAAGTGCCATATATCTTGTAACACCAGCTATCTTTCTTTTCTAGGAATGAAGCATCACAAGACCATGACTGGAAAGTGTGGGAGCCACACACACACAGAGATGCTGGTTCCCTGACTGCCACTGGTTCATCTCTGTCATGGCACAAGCTACAAGAGGATGGAGGATCATTGTAAGGATCATTCCTGCCCTGGCTCCTCCTCATCAGTGCTTTGAGCTGTGTGAAGCCCTGAGAACCAAGGCAACATGAGTCCATGACCAGGTATTTTCTCTTCTCATGGTCTATATCTGAAGCTCCTGCAGGTAGGAGCTCAATCTGATTTACAGTGCTGGTGATGAGCAAGACAAACATGCTAAAATAATGCATGTGAACCTTCACCCTCTTCTAGAACTGACATTGTTTCATCATTTTCTCTGCATTTTCTGGATGAAGCAGCCAGCATGAAGAGGGCATGCTGGCACGCATCCCACTTGATGGCTGAAAAGAATAAACTGACAAACATTTTTACTATGCTGCAGCTTATCAACATCCCAGTGAAAAAAGGGTGAATGATATTTTCCACTGGTTATTCACAGATGCACATGGATATGCTGGTAAACTGCCATTCGGTCCAGAGGCTGGACAGAAATAAATCACCAGATAAAATATAATATTCTGAGTGAAAACCTTTATGGAACATGTTCTTGCCCCAAACTCCTCCTGGAATAGGCGCAGTAATGCTCCCTGAGACCTGGCAGCCCTTCTAAGTGAACATATGGTCTGCTCAGCTCTTGCAGTACTTCTGCATGGTGAGTAAACACACAGCAATGTCAGAGCAAACAGGAGGCTTTTTAATAGCATGAAATTCTGCGGCAACTTCAGACTTCATCAGTACTTCAGGAATGGATTCCCCTTCTCTGCTGCAGCACGCACTGCTTACAGGAGAGGTGGAAGGAATCTCTTTGGGGGTGAATGGTGTCTGGAGCCATCTCCCATATGGCTGATGCTGCTGGGAAGGGTCCTGGTGTGTCAGGAGCTGTATTTTCTTATGATGCTACATTGCCTTCTTCATCTTTCTGAGATATCCCCTGGTGCAGTGTAACTTGTGCAGTAATTGGAATAGAGAGAGGGACCTGAAGGTAAAAATCCCACTTAATCAGGGCTGACAAAGGGCAGAACATTAGCTGCAGTAATTGTGTTTCTGAGGGAATCAACAAAGCCGGGCTCGTCTACACTAGCAAACGGATCTGGTCCTGCCTCTACACTTCTTGCACTGGCAGAACATTGCACTGAAATCACTGGAGTAGGGATTGGGCCAGGAATGAGTGGCTGAGTTGCAAAGAAAATTAATTCCTGCCAAAAAAGTTCAGCTATGCTCACAAGTATGTAAAGTGTCTGATTTGAGAAGTGTCAAGTAGCATTTGTGACCAATTACCCAAGATGAAGGGGGCAGAGCTATGTTTACATGTACTAATCTTCAGCCAAAGTTTGAAAACTCCAATTCATGGACACGCATCAGATTTCCTTTCCAGGCTTGGCATTTGCCTGTACGCACGCATGCACATTGCTTGGGGATGACAGGAAAACATGATTACCGCTTGCAAATAATACAAATAAAGAAAGAAAGTGAGAGGAGCTGCCATGCAGCAGCAGCATGGTAATTAAGCTTATACTGTGATATGCAAAAGAAAATCATGGGCCACTCTACGAGTAAAACAGCTTTATCAGCTGAGCTGAAATATGATGTGTCTATAGTGCTATTTTTTTCCCAACCTGTGAAGCTGTGTGCAATGATCTACACAAAAGAATAAGGAGTAAAAGCTGCCTCTGTTTAATTAACATAGGTATACCAATTTAATGCAATTAATCAAGATAGCAGGGATTAAACAGTAACTCACAGTTGACAGTGACTGTGTTATCATTGCTATGGCATAGCAGGGCTGCAGAATGATAGTGGTGACTGGAAACGCTATGATTAAGAGCAAGCTGTCTGTAGTTTCGGGCGGGTTTCAGAGGTTTAGGCAGATCTATTGAATGTGATCCATTTTCATGTAGCCAAATGTTTATCTGCCCCTGCCCTTCCCTTTCCCCTCTTGGACCTTCCAGGGTAAAGTCCAGAGTGGCAAAAACTTTTAAAGCGATTCCTCTTTCTTCTAACAGGTTCCTGATGCTAAAGGTCTGACCTTAAAATAAGCAGTGCAAGAATGGGTGCCGCAGCAAGCTTCTGGCCTTCAACCCTTCCAAATACAGCTATTTTGGTAACCAGAACAGCATATTCATGATGGGTGAGGGAACAGAGCCTTCCAGTGAAGGATTTCTTGGCACATTAACTCTATCAGTGCTGGATGCTGCATCCCTCTTCAGGTTGCTTGTGTCTATTTAAGATACTAAATACAGATTTGCAGAAGCCTTGTAACTTCACGGATGTGCTTCAGTGCCTGCTGCACCTAAATATTAACCATTTTTCCTGGGGATTTCCACATAGATTTGGGGAGAACTGCAATCACACACCTCTGTGAGTAGCTCAGACTTGGATTTCTTGTCCACGGGAGGGGCACAGCCTGGTTTGCTACAATGCAACTGTCTTCATTAACGTTCTTCAAGCCTGATGTACTGACCTTGTACACCATCATTCACCACTGTAGGGTAAGAAGATCGGGGAGTTTTCTAGGCTCATTCTTTTGGCTTCAGAATGTTAAATTGGGTGATAATGAGTAGTAACTGTGTCCCTTTTTATGGTGAAGTTGACACTTGCCTTCTTGTAAACAGACACAGAGATGACCCTCCTCATTTCACACAGGTCACCAAACAGCCCCTGGGATCGGAAGGGTTATTGGCCATTTACCAAACTCTGTTTGACTTGGGTTCATGGGTGAGAGATGAAAGGCACTATATTGCATTACCAAACCCTGGGGCCAGCCAGTATCCCTAAAGGAGCATTTCATTTAGCAAGGCAACTGCTGGTCCATGGGAATCGGAGAGTTAAGAGAAAGAAGATGCAGTTGCAATCACAGATGCTTCCTTAGAGCAGATGTCTTAAAGCCACACAGAAACTGCTTTAGCGTTGCAACAGTTGCTTCAGGGTGCTTAGGGGCCAGCAAATTTTTCCCACAATATCCCATTTTTCCCACCAAAATATCCCTTAGGTTACCAGTGGTGTTTCTGCATCTGCCCTATTCTGTTTTGCTCCATCTCCCTGGAGGAGATGCACCATACCTGGGACAAGCAGCAGGTATGAGCTATTACCTTTTCTAAGAGCTTCAAAGTCTAGGCAGCACATACCTTCCCCATCTTCCAGATGAAACAAGCCTCCCTGGTATCACACTTAGAGCTGTTGGGAGCTTGGGAGAAGTGTTCTCCTGAACTCCCCAAATATTTTCAGTATCCTAAAGCTGAGATGCTGACTGATTTTCTTGGCTGTAATGGAGTGGTCCTTGTAATCAGGGCAGTCTAAGTGCTGCCTTTATACAGATCATGGATGCAGTGCTTGATGCTGCAACAGTTACAGGAAGGAGAACATCTGCTGCTCAGACAGACCAAGAATTCAACCCGGACCCATCCTTAATTTCTTATGATCTCAAAAGCCAGTGTGGTTCCAAATTCCTTAGCACTGGTCAAAATCCTTATTTCACTTTTCTCCCTTGCTTTTTTTGTTGTGAATTGTGAGGCATTCAGAACTTTCATTTTGTTTTTTGATAGTTTTACATTATGGTTGCAGTAATGCATCTGCTGAGTCAGCAGCTCTTCCTCTGTGTGTTTGTCTGTTTTATAATCCACTTCCAGCAAGTTCTTGTTACCCAGTTCCTGCTGACAACCAGGGAACAGGCACAAGTCAGCTCTGAAAATGAACGACTGGAAGGTAAGTGAAAGGAATAGTAAATGCAGGCCATTCATGTGACAGGATCCGATTCATTTTTATGCCAGGGAGATGTTTTAAATGGGACTTCTCCCAGTGGAAAGCTCTGCTGAGAGAAGGTGCTCAGGGCCTGCTTCACTATAAAGACAATACATAATTATTCAGAGCTTATTATTATTTTTTGTCACTCATTTTCCAGTCACCCAGAGCGAGGGCACAGATGAGATCAGGACCTAGTTTATTGCCAGGCACTGTACAGACTGTACAGTACACAGTACCGTAAGAGCCCTATAAAAGGTTTTAACTATCTACTTAATGGAGGCAGACAAATGCACCCAGGCTGAAGGTTAAAGCGACAGGTCTAAGATGACAGAAGTCATCAGCAGCAAAAAAAGGGACTCAGCCTGAGATCTTCTATCCCGGGATCCTGCATTTTGCTTTAGACATCTTTTCTTTTTACATTTATTTCAAATCACTGAAATGATGAACTGAGTAAACTTTGTGTCCTTTGAAGCACTGTTTATTGTATTTATAGGAAGCAGATTATCTGTTCTCCCAAGCTAGTGGAAATTATTAAGAGTGATAAACTCATCAGGAAAAAATGTAGGCTGGGTGTGACAGAGAAACCTGTATTTTATTCTGCAGTGCCATCTTAATCTCTGGTTTTGGTATGACAGACTATGAGGTCTCACCGATACTGCACCATCTTGTTCTCTGCTTCCAGGCTCAGGTCACAGGTTGGATTTGGAAGCAGCAACTTTCATGCAGAGATGTGACTGGTATCTGGATACTATTCCAGGGTAAGTGCATTTTTGTTTAATTTGGGTTTTGTACAATGTATAAAGTCCATTCAAAGTCTGTTGTTAATCCCAGCCTAGTTGCGAAATTGCTATGGACCACTACTTGTTCAATGCAATAAAGCATTTCCACGTACCACAGAAACACTGCTCTATTCATATATTAAAATTATTTTACCAGGTCAGTCCTCTGGGATTTAGCATTTCATTCAGAAGGGACTCTATAACACACACCAGTTGTGCTGTCTCTGGGTTCTGATGAATGTGGCGATTTTCTTAAGCCTATATATATATTAATTTATTGTAACACTTCTTTCTTATTTGAAAAACTGAAACTTAGAAAAAGAGCTAAAAAATAACTCTCAGACTGAATGGATACTCTTTATAATTTTCTCTTTATTACTTGCAAGTCTTGGATTACCTCATGCAACCTTTCCATGTTGACTACTCTATTAGCTTTGCTCAGACACAGAAGGTAGTGATAATGGATAATGTATGTTACAGGCTTCTTTACAGATGAAACCAAGGAAGCGTCCTGAAGTGTAGCAGCTACTCAATACCGGTAACTTACACAACCCTCTGTACTACTACTGCTGTTTTGAACCAATTTATTTAGTTATTTGGACTTTACTCAGATGCATTCCTTTCCACTGCAACAGCAGTGACACATAGGAAGGTGTGTTTTAAACCTTGCAGTCATTCCCAGCCTGGATTTCATGAGGGGTTATTCTTGTCTCAGAGGTGAATCATTCAAATATCCTTTTACAGATTCCAGGTGAGTTACTCACATTAAGATGCTTCCAAGTAATACACAGAAAGGTGCTGAGAAAATGATGAGTCTCTGCCTAGTAAAAAGCTCAGCGAAAGTAAGTCCAAGTAAATTATATACTAGCACTCAAAGTCTTCCTAAGGAAATCTGGGGGCAAAGGGCTTCTGCCTTCAAAAATGTGTGGCCAACAGGGATGCAAAACACTTGCTTTTCTGACTGACCCATCAGCTGCTCTTTGTCCCCAGAAATGGTTCAGGAAAAGACTGAAAGTATCTGAAGACATAAAAGGGATAATTAAGTTTCATTGTGGGAATAAGAGGGTAATCTGTCCAGACAAATGTAGGACTCGGTATTGAAAACTGTACTATCTGAATATAAAAAATGAGTAATTTTGAATAAAGATGTCTATCAGGACTGTAAATCCAGAGAGTAAAAAAGTAGCTTTGCTTAAAAGACCATCTCTGTCTCCATCTTCCTCTAACTCATTTTCTTGTTCTCTTTCTTCCTTTTGAGTGACTGCAAAAACCACGCATGTAAAATCTGATATTGAGAATGCTTTAGCTTCATTTCAATCTTCTCCAAATGTTTTGTTCTGCTGTGAAGATTCCCCCTGCGAGATAACCTTACCCGTGACCGCACTAGGCTTGCGGGACCACTTATTTGCAGAGAGAACGGCTGTATTCTGAAGCAGCCAGGTGCCCACTCTTCTGAGGCTCTTAAAGATGCTTTTGAGCTGGCATGAGAAATCACCCAGGACTTGGAATGGATCACAAGGTGCTTAGGACAGTATTTTCAATGCACCTTTTTTTGCTGAGCAGAATTCTGCACTATAAACAAATGCGAGTTTTGCCTCATTCTTAGATACTGTGAGTTATGAAAGCCCACTCTAGGTGTAATGAATGTATAGATCATTTTGACCAGATCATAATCTATTAGTATATAACATTCCTGGAAATGTATAGGTGAAATAAAGAACTTGCTACTATTGTTGTATTGTATCAAGGATTACTGATGAGGCCAACATGATCCCGAAGCTTTGTGCTCCTGATGTTTAAATACAAAGCTGAACTAACTATGGGGTTTGGTTAGCAAATTCCTTCCTGGATTAGGATATTCAGGCTTTATACTGCTGGAAACAGAAACTGAAACTATACAAAGCTCACCTGTCCCTAAACTGTATCACAAGCCCCAGACTTCACTGACATTTATAAAGTGACTTCATTCAGCTTCCCTGATTGTGGTAGTGATATTAATAAGCAAATCACACAGCAATTTTCACAATGAATATGACTGATATAGCAAACGCCTATAACATCTACGACTTCTTCACTGCCTGTGGAGGAAGCCCAAGGATACTCAGCTAAGACCTATGGTCAACTATCAGCGCAGCCTCTAGGCCATGGGAAGGTTAGTTTTAATGAAGATGGCACTTAAGGGACATCTGTGTGACACATGCTACAGTGTCCAGAGATTGGAGTTTATGTGTTTTGCTCTAAATCTAGGGAGGAAGTCAGTAGAGAAAAAAAGGGGAAAGAAGCATGGGGGAATAAAAGTACTTTTGAAAGGGAAGAAATCTACATTTCAATGAAAATCCTTTCAAGGCATTTCAAATAAGAGTCTGAGGGAAATAATTACAAAGTTTGGAGAGAAAGAACGTTAGCTTTGATATCTTTTTCTTCTATGAAGCAATTAAAATAAGCAATTTTTCAAATACTAAGCAGAAAATTACTAATGGCTGAACCCAAAAGCTTTCATTTCCTTCTTGGGGCCTTTATTCTTCTAAAAAAAGACAAAAAAAAAAAAAAGTGAAGGTGGTTTTCCAGATAGATTAATGCATAAAGCAGTCGCTAGTTGGATGTCATAAAAACTACAGCAGCATAGAATAGCCGAGATTAAGAGCTAGATTTAAATCATGCAACAGTCCAGTTAATATCAATGTCTAATTAAGAAATGCATAAGAAGTCTGTAATGTTGATTTGATGGAGAAAAACTCTAATAGGGTTTCTTTTGGAATTTTCCATTTCAATTGCTGTGTAGACTTTTAATGGATGTCCTATCCAGTCTTTGGTATTAGCAGGAACCATCCTCAAATTAAAACCGAGGCCTAAAATGGAACACAGGTAGACAAATTAGCTGGTCTGGGAAGCAGTCTGGGTAGAATGGCAATGTGAGCTCAAGCCGAAATTTTAGTACAAATAAAAAGGGAGAAATGTCTCAAATCTGGTGTGGAAACCCTATCTGCGTATCGTTTTAAACAGTTTAAAACCTGCAATTTTAAACAACGCAACGTTAACCCATTTCCCCACCTCCCTAAGCTTGCCAAAATCCCTGCAATTCACACTGAGAAATCCAGACCACTAAGCATTATTAATTAGTCTTTTTAAATAGAAAGGTTTTCTATAGCTATATATATTAGCAGTATAGAGGTGGGCTCTCTTTGCTTGCAGTGGGATTTAGAGCACACAGTTCACTATCACTATCAGTGAACACCATTAATCTCCCACTCCTCTCTGGGTAACTAAAGCTCTTAAACTCTTTGAGCAAAACTAAACCTGTGGCCTCTGCTGTGTCACACAGATCATGCAGGACATTTGGTCTCTCGATATGAAAGGGGAACTGGTTTTGTGCTGTATGTCACTAATGCCCTGAAGTTGTTAAACTAGGAGCAGGGTAACTGGTAGTAGGCACAAATCCATGTTGCAAAGAGGGAGAAAGCATAGCACTGGATTAAAGCAGCAGTGTATTTGTTATCACCACTTTGTTGTTGCCCCAACAAATCCAGAGGGAATTATCTCAGGAATCCAGGAAGACAGCAAAGGCAAAAGAACCTCTCTGACCCAGGCAGCCAGCATGCAGGGGAGTAATTTTTAAGTTCGTTAGAACCCAGTAAAATACAATATATTTGCCATGGTAAAGCAGGGCATATCTGCCTACATATTTCCACTACTAAATCCATCCAATCCACTGTTACTTAACTTAGCAAACAGAGAGTTAAAAAAGACTGGAGATAAAATCAGAGCAACAGCGAAAATTTGGCACTTCCAAGTCCCAGTCATTGCCTGAAATGTCCAGATTTATGCCTGACTTTACTCCATTGATCAACAAGGCACAAATACGTCATATTAAACAGGGACACCATGGCCCTGGGAGATGCCCCAAGGATTTTTCTCTTTGAAAGAGACAGGAACAAGGATGTTCTTAGTGAAGCATCTGCCTTCTGAAGGATACAGAGGTCTAATGTGAGCACAGTGAGGTCGTCAGAGCAGTCTGACTGTTTTACCCTCTTCTTGTCTGTATGACTGGGGTGGTACCACAGGTAAGGATGCTGCTAGATGATTGTTCAAATGGAGTACCACTCTAGCAGGGTGCTTTGTCTGTAAACTGTGTTGGATTAATGCAATACTTTGGAAGAGAAAAAGAGCATAAAGCAGTCTGTCATTTGCAAAAATATACAACAGTCAAAAATAAACAAACTTAACTTGTCCAAAACACTTGACAGCTGCAAATTCTGTTATGCTTTCGCTAAATGAGAGGAAAATTTCTCCTCCATAAAACCATCCTTTTAGATATCACTGCAGTCATGACCTCACTGCAGTTCCTGAATTCTTTCTGAAAAGATTAAAACTAGTGCACCAGTGATCTCATCACAGCTTAAAGGACATTATACATGGGAAAAAAGGCAGGAAAACTTCAGTGGTTTGTTTGCATCAAGAGTAACAAAACCACTGTACCCTAATTGTTGAGAAACTCTGAAGGTACAATGCCAGAGAGGCATTTTTCCTACCTTTATCTATACCTTCTCTTGTCTCTTCTGTGTCCTTCCTGCATGTTTTACTGTACCTGATTACTTTGAATCATATACATTACTTTTTCCAAGTACATACAAAAGACATTTTGCAGAGTATATGCATACAATCATGTTACACAAAAGTATTCATACATACTTCATCCATAGCTTACACTATTCTGGGTAAGAACACTATCCTATATGTATATACAGTTCTCAGGCTAGGGGGTCATGGATTATAACAGGTCTCATCTGTTTTCGAGCTGTTGCATCTTCTAACAGAAATAAGGAGGATGAATAGGGAGAGATGTTTTGTTTCATTTGGTAGGAGGACCTATAAGTTAGTATTCATGTAACCTCGAATCCCACTGCATTTTAAATGTTGTATCCCATTCTGAGGTTGGAAACTAGATATCTTCAGAATACGAGCAAAGCGTTAACAACCTCTTATCTCTTGTGCCCATAGGTACACCTCAGCTCTGGCTTGAGATCACACGTTAGGCAATGAGGTGACAAACCGGTTTCCTTCCTCAAGCTGAATGTCACGTAGTTGCCCAGGGGTCCATTTTGGTGGGGGGTCATGTTCCCTGACTTTTCAAGGGGAGATGTGCTGATGTAACCCTTTCCCACCCTGTGTACACTTGGCAGGAGGAGACAAAACTCCTCTTTTCTACCCATGACATTTCCCAGCCAGATAGACAGCCCCTGATGCACCAGAGCAGCCACTTGTTAGACACTGACAAAGAAACCTACATAAACCAAGTGGAGATGAATTCTCAGGGCTAAAGCAAGCTGATATAAAGGGTGACGGTACCCTTCTACCCACCCAATAAGATTTGTTACTCCTAGATGGGGCAACACACAAGCCAACCCCAAATGCTTTGTAGCTGATAAATCTGCTTTAGTGAACAGAGCCCTGATCAATAGTGTTATAGGCTAATACATGCTGCACTATTAGTAGAAGTCCAAAAGCACCAAAGAGCAGTGCAGATCATTGTTACCAACAAGAAAATAGTAGGTGAGAGGATATTGTAATTCCTGGCAGCAGGAGCCTGTCTGGAGGCACAGACATCCCAAAGCAGAGGAGAGCTGGAGAACTGGGGATATTACAGATTTACCAGGCCAGCTCAGACAGGGTAAAGGAGATGAGCGAGGCCCTGAGCTCTACTCAAAGTTCATTGCTCTGTTGATTGTGAAGAGGTATCTATAGATCAGGATCTTGAACAGAGACTGGTGTACCAGCTGAAGCTGTACAAACTAAATTGTATATCCCCCAACTACAGATAAAACAAATGGCCAATTTTAGCCTAATCATCACTTCTGCCAAAGGAAAGAGAAACTCTTTGAGGTAAGTCCCCTTGGATATAATTCTTTCTTTCCAGGTTAAAGAAGGGCTGCAGCTAATACATATCCTGAGCCATAACGTGGATTTGCACCTTTCCTGTTAAATATAGCTGGTTCGTGTCCAAAGCATCACTTTTATTCCTAATGCTCAGTTATACCATTACAACTTCTACATTAGTTGCAGGTGTGAAATGCCAACTGATCCACACCTCTCTTGCTGTCAGCATGAGAGTAATGTATGTCAAAGGCCTTATTCTCAGAGGTGAGGTCACCAGGATCTGCCCGTTTGCACATCTGCTTTGCTAAACACAAAACTCTGGAGATTTGCAAAGCTCCAATATGGACAAAATGGGATGAGCTCACTGGGAGCCACACAGGAGAAACTATTTGTGCTTCTCCTTTAGTGGGCAGGTCACAGAATTTTCCCCCTATACAAAATATTTGCTGTTTTACAACAGGCAGCATTTTGCTAGTTTTCACATGGATATTTGTATGTTCTGTATTAATAAGGAAAAAGGCTACACTTCATGTTACATGACACAAGAAAATTCAGGATACCAAGTTAAAAAAGAGCTCAATACATCAAGCAGCTTCAGAAAGATGCTAATATTCAGTGTGTCCCTGCTTGGACTGTGAAGATACTAACTCCTGGAGGGACAATGCTGCTGGAGACTGCTTCCGAGAGGCATCCAGATTTGGTTTTGAGGGCTTCAGAGAAGTGTTCACATAATTCTACTTCCTGTTGTTAGTGGATTGTTTTTTATACCTTGGAAAAAGTCTTTGAATTAATGTGTGCACATGAAGTCTACATCTTGCTCAGGGATCTCTAATACACAGTATTTTTTGCCTTCTACATTTTCCACAAGGTCAAAGACTAATCGTATATATACACTTAATTATTTCCTGATTTCTGCTAATATCCTTTAATATCTGCAATAAAGATTCCCACAAGTAATCTATACAGACTATTTTTTATCTTCATGTATGGTAAAGATGTAAGCCTTGTAATGCCATCTGGTTATGACACCATGATTCTGGTTATTCTGGACTTACAGGACACTTTAAACACATGCATCCACCAAGTGTCATTCACCACTACGAACTATACTTTTTCTCCCTCAGTTGACTATTTCTGAAGTTTTTTGGGGATAATGGAATCAAAGCTGATCTTACTTTATAAAATTAGAAGTCAGAGTATTGGTCATCAGCTGTGTGCCTTGTTACACGGGATTTAGACCTGCCACCTCCATAGTCACTTAATTTGAATTAAAAGCAAGTTATTTCAAAACCCCATGGGATACTGCAGAAAGCCATGAGCAGAAGACATAGTCAGAGCATGTTTCATGAACATCTGAGATCCCAAAGCTGAGACTATGTTGCTCAAAATGGACATCATAGAATGGTTTGGGTTGGAAGAGACCTTAAAGATCACGGTTCCAACTTCCAGCCATGGGCAGGGACACCTTTCACTAGACAGGATGCTCCCAGCCCCATCCAACCCAGCCTTGAACACTGCCAGGGATGGAGCAGCCACAGCTTCTCTGGGAAAACTGTTCCTCACATCTCCTTAAGGAAGCTGTTTATTTCACCAGGATCAAAGAGATGCACTTTTAATACTGAGGAAGGGAAGAGCTTGATAAAGAAATGTTTGATTTTGGAAAAGTCTCTATGTTGGTATATTAAAGGGACTGTGCTGTAGGAAACAGTGTAGTTTGCATGGCTCTTCATGGAAGTGGCTATTGAATTAAGAGGTATCCTTTTCCCCTGAAATTTGCACCAGAAATTCAGAGCAAAAATTTGTCACGTTTCATTAGAATGACTTCATTACTTTCCCAATAGGAATTACATTTGTTTCTCTGGGCTGCAAATATAGTAAGACCATGAAAAGGAATTGGGAAAAAGAGATACTGATTTTCTTGGGATGAAATACAGAAAAGTATTTGAGTAATATGGCCTGGATTTTTAAAGAAAATTTAAAGAAACTTTTTTTCAAGTATTTGCCTTAGTTTTATTTTCATTTTTGCCATGTATAATTATGAGTAATTTACAGACAGCTTGTAAGATTTTTAGTTTCTGTTGAGAATTGCCTTTTCCAAGATAATTTGGTATGCTATTACTTTAACCCACTGGGTATCATGTAGGCAAGGTGTAAGATTATGCACATGAATATTTCTGTCTTCCACTTATGCGTGCTGAGACAATATCAACTTATACTTTCTCCTGTCATTGGTCTTGATTCCATAGAGGATTTTCTTAATTACCAGCAAGACAATTTGGTAATATCATGTAAAGTGTTACAACATCATTTCTGTGATGATTTACACCTGCTGAGGATCTTGTTATTGAATTTTAAACCATATTTTAAGTCCAGAACATTTCTATTTTTAGTGGAAATACCCTTTAATTTATTGGCACAGTTCCTCTAAATCATACAGAGCTTTTGAACATGAAGACACCATTTTTGCACATTGGCACTGCCCTGAAAAATTTAGAGCACGCTTCTGTACTAGATTAAATCAACTCAAGTCTAAATGTCTAAACGCTATCTTAGACAACCGTGCATGAGGGACGTACCTTTATAGGGATTCTAAAGAATACAAAACTAAAAATACCTCTGTTGCAGAGAAAAACGCACTGCATTCCTTCCTCCACCTTGGGATTCTGATTATATATTTTTAACCCTTGTGGGTTTATTTCCAAGTCTGTTCAAAAAGACGGAAATGATCCCATTGACTCCAACAAACTCTGCTTTCTGCTGGAGTAAGGAAGATGTTTGTACATCAGATTTATTGGTGATGTCCAACTAATGAAAGGGGGAATTTTATAAACACATCAGGGAGGATAAGTGCCCAATACAAAGATGTCAGATAGAGATCCAGAAATTACAGTCTCCTTGTAACAGAAATAAAACAAGGAATGCTTACTAACGAGTCATGAATTTCTTTATAATTGCTTCCACATTTGGGGCAACTTTTTCCTAAATCATCTACAGAAACCCTGCAATTCATAGCACTTTTAATAGTGGTTATTATCAGAACAACACATCTATGATACAAATTACTTTGGGAAGGATTTTTTCTTCTCTCCTCAAATTACTTTTCTGAGGTTTTATTTCAATATTGAGCTATTTTCTTCTCCTCCTCCTCCTCATTTCTATTTCTAATATAAAAACAGGAGTTCTTATCAATTTAGAAGAGGAATAAAACTAAAGAAAATTCAGGCAGAACTGTAAAGCATGGTCTATTTTAAAGTTCCAACAATAAGAATCTGTTTTGTGCTGCACTTCTTTCATGAACTCAGTTTTCCATGGTGCATTCAGTGTTGTAATAATGCAATTCAAATACAATTTTAATAACTCCTTCCATTAAAATGGTCTATTAATGTTTTAAGACTCCAACACTTATGAGCATGATTCTAATTGCATGATTTTGCTGTAGGCAGGTTTTATAGATCTGCCTGATCTTTAGATATTTGCACCATTTGGATTATTTTAAATAATTAATTTTTGGAAGAGTTTCAGTCTCAGTAACAACAGTTGGGCTTGACAGTGGTTTTCTTGTGGGTAATTGTATGTATCTGCTTCCACATGAGAAAAAACTAGATAAATTTAGAACTCTTTGAAAGGAGATGGCTGAGGTTTATATGATGACAAATGTTAAGAATATTCTGAAGAGGGGATTATTTATTCACTATGTTAATACAAGAAAGAAAAGAAGTTTAAAGTGAAAAAAATTTCATGTTTGTCATGCAACAGAATTAACTTACAGGATTTTCTGCCACAGGATATCAAAAATAGATTAAAAGAGGACTAGACATGCATGGAAGATAGCTCCTTTGATATCATTAAACTTTCTTGTTTTATGCAATTATCAGTCTCTGTAATGCCTTGGGTGGCAGGAACAAGGAAAATGCCTCAGGAGAAGACTTCGTGTGTGTTTGACTTCTGACATCTGTATATCTACTAGGGGTTTCTGCCACAGATGTGGTGAGAAGGTGGTTGGACCTTTGGTGTAACTCAGCACAGCTACTTCTAGGCAAGGCAAACACTTGTTTGAAAGCCTGTTCCTCTCTCCAGAAACTGTGGAAAACCTCAGGTTTTCCTGTCATTCTGCAGAGTGAGCTGAGGAAAACGAAGACTATGGGTATTGGGAAGCAGGTAAGCACAGCAGCAAGAGTTGCAAAGAAAGCATTTGCTGAGTGGCTTATGAGGGCCCTTACCTTGACATGGTTCCCCAGCTTTATCTCTAGTGGCAGGCTCTTGGCCACTGGCATGCTGGTTCTCCTCGTCCTTGTACGTGCTGTTCTTCCTCTTGAGCATCAAGACCTATGGCAGAAGGTTCCCTCCTTCAAGATGAACCAAAACATCAATGCAGTCTTGCACTCTTGGTTCTACATTTCTTCTGTAGAGAAATTACTCTAACATGACAAATGCCTACATAAGCTTTGAACAAATGAACGTTAAAACTAGAAATGGTAATTTTCTTTGGGGGTTTAAAATTACTATGTTCTAATTGTTTCTAATTGTACACTGAGAAGTGATTCCTTGTCTGCAAAAAATAACATGTTCTGTAGCGAATCTGACTTTACCCTTTCCAAAAGTTCCAGTTCTGCCTATTTGGTGAATTCTATGTCTGGCATGACAGAAAAGAAGAAAATTTCCTCTGATATATTAAGTGTGCATTTTCCTTGCAGGATGGAATCCTAACAGATTTGCTATGGAGTTTACACACTGGTAAAGAATTAGTGTAAAAGTTGTGCAAAACAAATGACAGATTTTTACTTCCACTTGCATCAGTCCTAGTGAGAGGACTAGAAGGGACAATGGGCCATTGGTATACATGCCTTGAGAAATACAATCTTTCACATGAATAGGTACTTGGACATGGATAATTGAGAAGTTGTGGGGGTCCCATCCCTGGCAGTGTTCAAGGCCAGGCTGGATAGGGCTTTAAGCAACCTGGTGTAGTGAAACCCATAGCAAGGGGCTGGAACTAGATCATCTTTAAGGTCCCTTCCAACCCAAACCATTCTATGGTTCTATGATAATTTCTCCAGTTTTGAAATTTTCAGTGCTGCATCAACTCAGATTATGAAGTTCTCAATTATTTCTTCTCCGAAGCCATCCCAAACAAGAATATCCCCAGAAAGTGAACTGATGATACAAGTGGATTATGTCTGGAGTTTTCCATGAAAAGTCTGTGCTGGAAAATGCCAAACAGTCAAAAAGTTTTGGAGAAAATAATGTGGCTTTCATGAGTTTCCTCAACTGAAAACAAGATGTTAAAGATGTTTCAAAACCATTGCATCTCAGTAGATATTTTTCTAAGTGAACATTTGCTTGGGAATTTTGGTTTTAATTTTTAATTTATAAGTGAAAGCAAAAAATGAAATATTTTGAAATTACTGAAGCAAATTGCTCAGTCTGATTTTTTTTTTAGCAGCTTATTAATTAACCAGAGAATTAGTTGAAAGAAATCTTAAAAACTCCCAAAAGATAGAAAAAAAGCATTTCCCTGCCAGCTACAAAATGAGAGAAAAGTATAAAGACATTTTCATTTAGCAGGAAGATTTAGTAAGATACCCACAGCTTCATACAAGTTGAAGACTTGAATTCGGACACACTTTGGGTTTCTTTCCAAGTGTGATCCTTATGGTAAGTGATAATGTTTTTACTAGACCTGGTCATCTATACTCAGATAAATATCTGGAAGTTTTCCAGCCTCTGCAAGGGTTATAGACTGTTTCACATGCTACCAGAAGAAGGAGGGCAGGAAGCATGAGCAGGGAATTTCACAGTTTTAGTCCAAACTAATGGTTTTAAACAGAAAATTGTGGTTAATTCTTAATTTAAAAATGTGCTTTAATTCTTAAATAATTAAGAGTGGGCTATCCAAGGACAAAGAGCACTGGATGCCAGGAAGGGTTAAGGTTTGTAGCAGGGAGAGGGAAGGCCTTTATG